GGCCGAACTCCAACTCAAGACAGCCTGCAGAGACACCCCCACACCCCCCACTAGCCTGGTTTCCAGAAGGGAGCCCAGCAGGCCCCCTAGACATGTCTCCTTTTATGCTGAGGGAGATGCCCCATAAAGACCTTCGACTTCTGCTCTGTCCCACCTCAGCAGTCCACTTCCCCACTGCTGCTTCCCAGATATCTTCCCCCCCCATAGATGACAGTCCCCCTCTCCAAGCAGAGGACTCAGCGCATCCCCTCCTAAGAAAAGCTCCACTTGTGCGTCCCATCAAGGCCAGATCCCCTTCAGTTATCCCATGGGGCTTCCCCAGAGAGGGTCCCAAAAGCAGGCTGAGCCTTGAACTGGCTTCTGAGTAGCAGGGCTTCCCTTGGCTGGGACTCCTATGGGGGGGGGGAGGAGGGGGGAGTAGCCCCAGCGGGGGGGGGGGGGGGGGCAGGCCAGCTGCCTCCTGAAAAAGGGGCCCCGATGCACCTCCCAAGGCTGACTGAGGAGTCGGGGGTGGGGGAGAGGAAGAGACTCCAGAAAAGAGGAACGGAATGGAACTTGGGGAAAATGCTGCTTACAGAAAGGAGGTTTGGTCTAGAGAGAAATGGAAAGAGTCTGAATTTTGGGCTGGGGGGTGGGGAGAAGTAGTTCAGTGTTTGAAAAGTGTAAAAGGGCCTCAGAACTGCAACTAATCACAAACTAGTACATAAAAATTGCCAGAAAGGAAAAAAAGAATTTTAGAACCATAATTTCTGCATGATAAAACATGGCATTCTCTTTTTTTAAAATAGCACTCAATTCTCTTCTGGAAAACTGTTTTCAGTGTTGATTCTATATTTTAAGATCTGGAAATCCAGAGAGGCTCCATGGAAAAAGATGGAAGTAAAGGCTGCATGAGTTCGAGAAACAGCAACTGAGCACCTCCTTCCAAGTCCCGAAAGGCTGAACAGCTCTGTGTGTGCAGCGAGAGAGAGAAGGGCCCCCAATACCCAGTTTTCCACGGGGTAGTCCTGGTGGAGGGGCTGCCCTCCCTGGCCAGGACAGCCTCCACACCAAGCAGCAGCCTGCAGGGCTGGTGTCTGCGGAGATAAGGAAGCCTTGCTCAGTAGCCTCCCCCCTTGCATGCCATCACTTGCACCGGCTGGAGCTGCAAAAGGGGAGGGGGGGCTGAAAGAGGGTTCTCAAAATATCCCTCAATACAAACTGAGAAGCAGGACAGGCAGGACTCTGTCTCAGCTCTTCATTAGTTCACCCACAGAGCTGACTGGGTTTTTTAACTCCCCCCCCCCCCCCCCATACCCCCCCCCCCCCCGGAACAACCACGATCAGGAAATCAACTGCCCCCCCCCCCCAGCTTTGGCACAGGGCCTCCTCCCAGCCCAGCTGCAAAACACCGCTGGGGCTGGGCTCATCAGGCCAGGCAGGAAAGGGAGACCCCTCCCCCTTAAGGTTGGAGAGCAAAGAGGCCCTTGCAAGGAGGTGCTGGAGGGGCCTGGATGTGTTCTAATCACGTCCCCTGCTCAAGCTGCAGAGGGCTGCTGGTCTCTCTCCACCCCTCCACCCCAGAAGTGGCCAACGGGCAGCCTCGGACTCAGGAAGAGTTGCTTCAGGAGGGGTGATTGGCAGGGCACAGGGCTCAGCAGGACCCCAGGAAGGTCTCTTCCCAGCAGGGTCAAAGGCAGTTCCTGGGGGGCTCTGTTGCCTCAGAGTTTGGCCGGTTTGGTCATTGCTTAAAGAAGGATGGCCAAGCAGGAGATCCACCAGTGGTCAGTCCACCCACAAGTCCGCTCTTCCCATCAAAGGGCATCTCTTGGGCAGAGCCTGGCAAGAAGGAGCGGAAGCAAGGGTGCTCTTTCAGAGAGGACCAATTGGCTTCCCCCTCCTCACTCTCCCTCACTAGGATGTGAAGTCCATTGGCTGCTCCGTTCCTGGGGTAAGCCAGGAGGAAGCATCAGCAGGTCCCTTGGGGCAGGCAGGCGATGGAGCAGCCAGGCCTCCTCCAGGCCTCCCCATCACCCAGCATCTCGCCTATTCTGGGTTACAACAGCTGGGGAAGTGTCACCCCAGAGCCCCGGGGCCCAGCTGCAGCGTTCAAAGCCTTTCCCTGCAGCTGAGGCCAGGCAAATTCCTTTCTCCTTCTGTATCCATTTGCTCCCCCAAATTGCCTTTCACCTTATGAAAGGAGCATTGTATCCACAGAGGACGGCGGCTCAGGTGAGCAAGCAGATGGCAAAGGGGAGGCTCACCCCACTATTGCCCTCTGGCCCCAGCCACTAAGGGCGCCTCAGGCAGGGTGGCCCCCAAAGGCCCAGTGCTTCCAAGGGCACACGAGGCTCCCGGCTCAATCCGATGCTGCTGCCCCAAGTGGTAGAGATCTCCAAGTTAGCAGAACCAACACCGCCAGGCCAGAAGATTGGAGCCCCCACTCCCAGCTCTCCCTGTTTTCTTTCAGCACAGCCCCACTCAGGAGACTGCTTCCTCTTCATGGGAGCCAAGGGGCGGGGAGAGGAGCTGGGCTGAACAGACCGAGCGCTGTGCTGCCCCTGAATGGAAACCTTTATGCACCACGGCTGCGAGGGCCACCCCAGTAACTGCCAAGGGGGGCAGCAGATGGCCAGCAGCCAGAGGAGAGATGACCTCCATTTCAGCAGCTGCTGCTGCTGCCATTGCCCCACTGTGGGCCTAGGAGGCCGCCCAGCTGTTCACAAGGTGGCCTTGTTCCTTTCCTGGCTGGGTGTTTCTGCTGCCAGGAGGCCCAGCGAGGGCAGGGTTCAGTGGAGCAGAGAGATACCTTGCCCCTTGCTCTGCTTCGGTATGCTGGAGAGGCTGACGGACGCCACTCCCAGCAGCTCATTGCGCAGGGTGTGACAGCTCCAGAGCTTCAGATCCAGGTGGCTTTGAGAAGTGACATTCCTGAGGGAGAGAAGGATGGGGTGTTGAGCCCCTGGGACCAGGCTGACACACAAACCATTAAAAAACAGGGGGAAACCTAAGCAGGACCCAAGAGCAGCAGACAGAAGCACCCAGCGTTCTGCTCTTAAGAGCAGACCAACCTGGAAGCAGCTATAGCAGAGGAATCACCACCCAGTCCTCCTGCAGATCTGCCTGGCACAGCCCCCAGCCCTTGGTCAGCAAGGGGCTGCTTCTATGGTAGGCAGCCCAGCTGGAGCAGGGATGTACAGCCACCGGAGCAATGCTGTCCGCCCCCCCCCCAAACGGCTCAGGGCCCCGGTCCTTACAGCACCAGGCTCTCATTCCAGAGCAGCTCGGAGCTCCCGGTCTGCTTCCCTGTTTTCTTGGCCTCGTTGGCAAGTCCATCTGCTACTACCTCCACAAAGGATGTGATCCGAGACTGGCGGCCCTGGGCCTTGGGCTTTGCTGAAACAACTGTGGGAGGAAGGGGTAGACATGACTGCCCACACTCATCCCGACCTCTGCTCATCCTCCCCATCAACAAGGCCACTCTGCACACAGCAGCATTCATCCTTTATGTGCCTGGCAGGATCCGAGGGCCTGGGACACGAAAGCACCAACTTCTGTTTCAATTAATTGAAAGTGTTTAGGCAAAGCTTCACAGGTGCAAAGCAACTATCGCCTCAATGGGCCACAACACCCAACTGAGGGAGCTCCCTCTAGGCACCTCACATTTGGAGCCAAAGCTCCCTGGAATCCTCCAAAGTGAGAGTTGGGAGGGAGGGCATCAGGGCAGCACCAGTGGCTGGCCAGACTGTGGGGGAAGCCGCTGGGCTTTGGGAGCCCCCTAGTGGCACTCAGGGGGCATGGGAAGCAGCTGGCCAGCCTGAAGGGGCCACCCAGGCAGGTGTGGAAGGCGAGAGGTGTGCCGAGGGGCTCCCCAAACTATGCTGCACCTGCACCAGGCTGAGTTCCTGGATCCAAAGGACACGGAGTTAGAGGAAAGCCAGGAGCGACTGAGGTTTTCAAGGCAACGCAGGGAGCTTTGCAGCTAGATTATGGCACCTTAAAGGGCTGCACGGAAGGGAAGGGGCAGACCCCAGGAAGGCCTAGGCTGGGCAACCCGAGCTGGAGTGAAACGTCTCCCTGCACACAGAAGCCATTACAGCGGCTGAATCCGGCTAGAAACCCTCAGGAACAGTTCAGGAACCGCTCCTGCTCTTAGGAGGAAAACGGCCAGGGGAGATCCGGGGGTCAGAGGCAGAGCTCCGGCCTGAGCGGGGGTTCCCCCAGCAGAAAAGACGGCAGCATTTCCCCTGCCCGTTACAACCGGGGGAGGAAGAAGGCTGACACCCTAGCAGCCCAAATCTGTTGCTGCCTACGAACCTTGGCCGGGCCGGAGACAAGCCTCCCTTCCCTCCCTCCCTCCCCTGGCGGAAAGGGGGCAGCTACGTGCGGGGCTGGGGAAGGGCAAAGCGGACCCACCTTTCACAGTCAGCGGAGATTTCTGCCCAGGAAGCCCCTCGGAGGCCATCTCATCGTCCGGACCTGCAAGGCGACAGCGGGGCGCTTCAGCTGCAGGCTGGGCCGGCCGCAGAGCCTCCCCCACGGCAAAGACACCGGCGGGCACCGGAGCCGCAACGCGGGCAGAGGGGCAGCCCAGAGGGGGCGGCGAGGTCCCGGCGCGGCCGGCAAGAGGCGGCGGCGGCTACGGGCGCTCCGCTTGGCCCGCCTGGGGTTGCGGCTCGGGCGCCCGGGGATTCCGAGGCGAAACAGGCCCCGCCTGGCTCTGCCGGGGCGAAGTCCGGAGAGAAGCGGCCCGGGGCGGCGGGGAGCGGGCCGCGGAGCAGGGGCTCTCCTGCCGGCCGGGGCCGCCCTCAACCCACCTGCGGAGCGACGCGGCCGCTGCGACCTCCGGGCCCCCGCGGGGCTTCTGCTGGGGATTCCCGGCGCGGCTCCCGAGCGCTTCCGCCTCTGGAGCCTGTCACGTGACGGCGGGTCACCCGGGCACGGCCGGACCAGCGAGCGGAGCGTGGGGGAGTAGAGTGGCCGCATGAGTCGGGGTGGGGGTGGGGGCACCCGGAAACTGCGGCACTTCCTCCGGCGTCAGTGCCTCTCTAGCGCGCGGCTGCTCTCTGGCAGGGCTCAGGATGGCGCCCGTGGAGCATCTCGTGGCCGACGCCAGCGCCTTCCTGCGGGGGGCGCCGCTCCAGGTAGCCAGGGCGGGGCCGCCGGGGGGGGAGGGGGGAGGGGGAGCCCCCCCGTCTAACCCGCTGTCCCCGCAGGAGATCGGCAGGCGCGTCTACACCACCCGGGAGGTGCTGGCGGAGATCCGGGACCGGGCGGCGCGGCGGCGGCTGGCGGGGCTGCCCTTCGAGCTGCTCCTCCGGGAGCCCTTCCCCGAGCACGTGCGCCTAGGTGAGTCCCCTCCCCTCCCCTCCCCCGGCCCGGCCCCCCGCCCCCCGTCGGCCCCCAGGAAAGCCCGGCTCTCTTGTGCCCGCAGTGAGCGAGTTCTCCAAGCAGACGGGCGACTTCCGCAGCCTCTCCGCCGCCGACATCCAGGTGCTGGCCCTGACGCTGCAGCTGGAGGCCGAGCATGGCGACGGGCGCCCCCTGCGGACGCAGCCGCGGCCCCAGGTACCTCCGGCGCCGAGTTTTATGCCTGCGAGATGCTCTGCTTGTGCGAGGCGGGGGCTCGGTGGGGAAGGGGACGCTGAGCCGGGCCTGCTGCCCTCCGCTCAAGACTTGCACCCGGTGCCGTCTCTCCCTGCCCCGGACTCTGCAGGTACAGCTCAGCTTAACAAACCGCCACCCTGAAGCACCGGTTGATGTTCCTGGCTTCCACGTTCCCCCCAAGGTAATTGTGGGAAGCAGCCACGCCGGGTCTGGCGTGGGGGCAGAAGGGCTGGGAAGCAGTTTCCTTTCTGCTGATGGCTGTGGGAAGGAGCAGTGCTGGCCTGGGTGCTCAGCCTCCACTGGGAGCCTCCTACTAAACCTTCCCAAAGACAAGAGGCTGGAAGATTGCAGAGAAAGGGCTGCTTCTTTGCCAGTTACTGGGACAGCTGCTGCCTTGACTGACAGGTGCCCTGGGGAGGCTGCTGCACAGGCCCGGCATCAACTGAGATTCATTTTGTTTTTTTACTTTCAACCCTGAGACAAAATGCCCAGGGAATGAGAGGATCCCTTTGGAAGCAGAAACAGATCCAGCAGATCCTGTAGCACTTGCAGAGACTGAGTTTTCTTCTTTCCTGTTCTGGAGGAACCCATTGCCTAACATAGAGGAGGACCTGGAAGGCCTGTTGGTAAGAGAGCCACTGCCTCCCTTCCCATGACTGGCACGCAGAGGATTCCTTGACTCAGTGGGCTGGACAGAGATCCTGTCCAATTATTCCATCCTTCACAGAAAGCAGACCCTCTTCTATTGGAGGCGAAGGACCCTGAAGGCCAGGAGAGTAGTGAGGAGGAGAGTGGCAAGGAGGAGGGCTGGATCACGCCGAGGAACATTGAGCAGATCCAGAAGAGCACTTGCTGGGGGAGTGAGCCTGCCAAGGTGCAGGTTGGCTGCGTCACCACTGACTTTGCTATGCAGGCAAGCAGGCGAGACCAGGCAGCCCCCTGTTTACCCCAGTTGGGCCTTGCTATGTTCTGATCCCCCATGACTTGCCTTTTCCCTGTCCCTCCCAGAACGTTCTGCTGCAGATGGGGCTACATGTGCTGGCGTTCAATGGTCTCCTGATCCAGCATGCCCGCAGCTATATCCTGCGTTGCCATGGTTGCTTCAGGTATGTGGTTTGCAAGCGCACAGGCTGACTACTCCCTGGGACGCCATGGGGCATTCATGGGGCTGATGTGCTGCTCTCTAGGACAACGTCAAAAATGACCCGGCTTTTCTGCCCCCACTGTGGGAACAAGACGCTGAAGAAAGTGGCCGTGACAGTGAAAGACGATGGCAGCTTCCACTTGCATTTTTCTCAGAACCCCAAAGTCCTGAATCCACGTGGCCTCCGGGTGAGTGCCCCATCCTGGTGGCCTGCTTCTGCCTGCCCTTTCCCCTCTAGCGGGGGCTGCCAATGCTCCAGCCGGCCTCTTCTCTACCACCCTCTTCCCCCCCTGAGAAGCGCTGGGCTGGGAGCAGCTGAGCTACTTTAGGCAGCCATTCCCTGCTTGCCAGCCCCAGGCCAGAGAACCGCTTGGGCAAATCAAGGCTGCTCAGGGCCTCTGCAGCCCAGGGAAGGCCATTGCCTCCAGGGAGGTAACGGCCTGCCGGGCTTGTCTCCACAGCACTCCCTGCCATCTCCGCAAGGAGGCAAGCACGCCAGTAACCCCCACCTGACAGAGGATCAGCGCTTCCCCCAGCAGCGGCTCTCCCGCAAGGCCAGGCAGAAAACCAATGCCTTTGACCCCGATTATGTGGCTGGAGTTTCTCCCTTTGCTGAACATGACATTCACAGCCGGGCAGCCAATCTGCAGATCCGGGATGCAGCACTGGGTGCGGGCAAGAGGCGCCTGAACCCGAACATGAGTCGCAAGAAGTTTGTGAAAAACAAGTGAGGGAGAGAGGCCAGATTCAGCCCTTTGGACATGGGTGAAAGGGCTGTTGTGAGGCAATCCAAAAAGGGCTGCAGGAAAAGTGTCTTTTGGAGAAAGTTGACTTGGACTCTCGAGAACCATAGCAGCAGTATTTGGAATAAACCCTGGCTTTTCTTCAATTATGGCTGTTTTTTAGATGTGGAGAAAATAAATTTGGCTTCTTTCAAGTGATGCTTGGTGTAGCTGATGGAAACTTTTCCCTACAGAGACCCTTCCCTAGTTTCCCCTCTGGTTAGACAGCCCAAGGAGCACAGAGGTCCTACATTTTCCTTCCTTTTTTTCATCAACCACCCAGAAAGGATTTGGATGGCTGGAGATGGGCCAGTTTTGTGCTACTTTTCTTCCAAGATGCTCAAGGTAAGCTCCCAAATGCTTCACCGTAGCCGTTCAAGGCTAAAGTGTGATTCATCTGTCAAACGTGCATCTTGGCTTTCCTAACATTAACTGATGCCACCAAGCTTCCTTTGGGGTTCTGGCTCTAAGCATGCATATGATGAAACAATCCTTCTGGGAGACTCAGCAAATTTGTTTATCCTACAGTGTTTGATTTTGTCCCTCGAGAGATCACTTGCAAACTAAAGAAAGGAATTAAAACTTCTTCTTCCAGCAGGGTTTCCTGTGAAAAAGAATAAGCGTGCTGTATTTCAGCAGCCACAGGTAGTTAAATGCACAGAACCTGGAAGAGCTAGTGTGCTTTTCGGAACATGCTAATGCCCAGTTGCCTGGGTTGGCGTGCTGGCCTTTGAACTCCGCAACCCCTTCAGCCCAAAAACCAAAATGTTGCCCATTGCTTTTCTTCTGACTGGGGTCTCGTGTGAGCCCAGGCCACAGAGCCCACCAGAATTGGCAGCAAAACTAGTAGGGCTTTGTGGAGGCCACTCCATCCTCCTAGGGGTCTGCACTGCTTTGGCTCCTTTCCTAGGACCCACCCTCACCAGACAAGTCCAGCAGGGTTTCCTGCCTTGTGTTCTGAAATCTATATGGAATAACCTATATGGAAATCTGGCAGCAAAGGTCTCTGATGTCTTTGAAGCCGCTCCTGCATAACTGGGTGCGGTGTTTCAGTGGGTTGAAGGCTATGAGGGCCAATGGGTGGGGCACCCAGAGCTGGCAGGAAGCCACCTGTTCGTAGTGGACAAAGGCCCTCTGGGGCCCCTTCTCCTGTTGTGGATACCAGCACGGTTGCCACCGGGGCCTGCTGTCCAAGGGGCCCAGGGGAGCCGGTGCCGCCTTGTTTTAATGCTCCTGGAACTGCTCCTTCCATCGCAGCTGCCCCTCTTTGAAGGAGACAGAGACGGTGGGACTGCTGCTGGGAGCCAGAGATAGAGGCCAATTGGCAGTGGCTCCCCAGCTTCTTCCGTCCTCGGGGAAAGGCGTCCTAAGGCCGGGAGAGCAGCACTCTTAGCGGGACAAGGGCCGGCAAAGGGGCTGTCGACGCGCCCTCTCCGGAGACCTCCGGGACGCCGGCCGCACCCACCGAGTGGCCGCGGAGGGCCGGGGCTGGGAAGGGGCCTCCCATTCCCCGACGGGAGGCGGAGCGAGGCGCGGTGGGGATCGCCGCCCCCAAAGGCCGGGGGTCGAAGCCGAGGCGGGGCCTGCCAGGCCAGCTTCGCCCGCTGGATCCCGACGCGCTGCTTCTCTCCGTCGCCGGCCGCTGCTAGAGGCGCCTCCTCGCTCGCTCTGCCGCCGCGGTGCCCTCGATCCCCATCCATGGCTGGTAAGTCTCCCTCCGGGAGGGCCCCCTCGGCCAGCCGCCGCCCCTCCGGAGCGCCGGGTCGGGAGGGTCTGGCCCGGCGGGCTCCTGCTCTGCCCGGGGCGCCGCTCCTCTGGTTGCTCGCGGTGGGAGCCGAGCCAGGCGGCGCCTTCTTCCTCCTCCTCCTCCTCTCCCGGCAGCGAGACGGGCGTTGATCGTGCTGGCCCACCAGGAACCGGGCTCGTTTAACCACGCCTTGCAGCGGGCGGCCGTCGAGGCGCTGGAGAGCGGCGGCTGGAGCGTGGCCGTCTCGGACCTCTACGCGCAGCACTTCCAGCCGGTCCTGTCGCGCACGGACTTCGCCGGTACCGCCACCCCCACCCCCACCCCGGCCGCCCCCTTCCCGGCCGCTTTATCCGCCGCCGCCTAACCTCCGCTCGACCCCCGCAGGCGACCCCGACGACCCGCGCAACCTCAACTACGCGAAGGAGGCCGGGCTGGCCTGGAAGGAAGGCCGCCTTAGTAGCGACATCTTGGGCGAGGTGGACAAGCTGGCAGCCGCCGACCTCGTCATCTTCCAGGTGGGCGCCGCCTGCCCGCCCGCCCAAAGCTCGGTCTTTGCCCCGCGCGGCTAGCGCATCTCCTGGCTGACGCTCCGGGGGGAGCCGCCGAAGCCCCAGGCAGAGCGCTTCGCCGAGCCGCCGCCTTTCGGGTTGGGAGGGAGCAGAGCCAGGCCAGCGGGGGCCCGGACGGGGCTCCCTGAGGCCCTGATGAGCCAGACTCTGCTTGCCTTCCAGTTTCCTCTGCAGTGGTTTGGCCTCCCAGCCATCCTGAAAGGCTGGTTCGACCGGATCCTCATCCAGGGCTTCGCCTACTCCTACGGCGCTATGTACGATCAGGGGCCCTTCCAGGTAGGCGGCTGCGGCTGGGGGGAGGGAAGTGCCGCTGGGGTTGCTTGAAGGGAGCCGGCCGCCTTGGCTGGGCAGGGGACCAGGGAGCAGTTGCACTCCCCACCCTAGATTGAAATGGGGGCCGGCAGGCGGGCATCCGCCATGCAAACCCAACTGGCACTTTGCTGCTGCCGCCGCTTTCTGGCCACCCCAAAGGGTGCCTCAGTGCCGTCTGTTGCTAGGGGAAACATGGCAGAACCCCCCCTCCCCTGGTCTGGGGTTGGAGCAGTCAGGCAGCAGTGGTGGTGACAGGACCCTGCCGGTCCCTCTCCTTCCTGGGGAAGCCGGGCCTGACTGTGCTTTGCTTGCCTGCAGAAGAAGAAGGCTGTGCTGTCCTTCACCACTGGCGGGATGGACTCCATGTACACCCCAGCAGGCATCAATGGAGACATTAACATCCTGCTCTGGCCGATACAGGTGAGGGCCAATCTTAGCAACAGCTCAGTTCCTGGACTGAGGATGGGGAGGTTGCTTAGTGTCTTATTGAAATGCCGGCCTTGGGAGTGTCTCTTGCATTTCTAAAGAAAAGTTTGTGTGCAGTCCGAAGTCCCAGGAGGGAGGGGCACCTTCCCAAGAGCAGAGAATTTCTGGTATGCAGGAAGAGGGCAAAGGTGGACACGCATGCACCCCCCCCTGCATTTCACAAGGTATTATCTAGTAGTTATGCAGGCAGTTGATTTAGTCTCTAGCAAGTTTATAATATTTTATAACTGTTTATAATGAAATAAACTACTCTGAAGTAACGGAACGGCCTTGTGCTGGCCTTGGTTCTGTGGACCTGGCAAGGCGTTCAGGGTACGGGTGGTTCCTCCAAGACCAAATGCCAAGATGGTGCATTTGCCTGGCTCCAGGCGAGCATTATGGCCCTTCTGGTTCTTACCCATGCAGAGTGGCACCCTTCATTTCTGTGGCTTCCAAGTCTTGGCTCCCCAAATTGCCTTCAGCGTCGGTCAGCACACTCCAGAGGACGTCCGCTCCCAAATCCTGGAGGACTGGAAGAAGAGACTGGCAGCCATCTGGGAAGAAAAGCCTCTCAGCTTTGCCCCAAACAGCGTTTTTGAATTGAATTTTGCTAAGGGGTTTGTGCTGAAGAAAGATGTCCAGGAAGAGCAGGAAAAGGAGAAATACGGGCTGACTGTTGGCCAGCACTTGGGGAAGCCATTCCCACCAGACAGCCAGGTCAAGGCCCAGGAGAAGTAATTGTCCCATTGGGAAGCTGTGTAGGATTGCAGTGGCCATGAGCCCACTTCTCCCTCTCCCCTGCAGGTGCAGGGAAAGGGGCTTCTCCTCAACGGGGCCTTGCCTGAGTGCCCAGCTAAGGCAATGTCGGATCCTTTAGGCAGGTTTTCCACCCAACTCTATTCTTTCTCTTAGTGGTGTAATTGGGGCTTCGATTGCCTTGAAGGGCTGCCCGCCAATGGGACCAGAGAAGTCTGCTAGCATTGCTTCAGCATTCGCGTTGCCTAAAACCTGGGGGTCTTTTCTCTTTGCATATTTAGAGTGCTGTCAGTGCCTGCTTTTTAAATCCCAAATCCAACTGCTGAGACTAATCTGTCAGATGTTAGGTAGGAAGTGATCATTGCCCCTCCCTTTCTGTCTGTAAATGTTCTTAGTGAAATAAAAGCCCTGAATATGTACGTTGCGCCAATGTTCTGTGGTTAATTTGCCAGACTGTGAAAGAATATTATGCACTCCATAATAGCTATAGGTAGTCCTTGATTTACAACAGTTCATTTAGTGACTGTTCAAAGTTACAATGGCACTGAAAAATGTGACATGACCGTTTTTCACAGGACCCTTGTAGCATCCCCAGTCACGTGATCAAAATTCATACTTGGCCAGTGATTCATATTTATGACAGTCGCAGTATCCTGGGATCATGCAATCCCCTTTTTCAACCCTCTGACAAGCAAAGTCAATGGGGAATCCAGATCCACTTAGCAACCATGTTACTAAGTTAACAAATGCAATGATTCACTTAATAACTATGGCAAGAAAAGTCGTGAAATGGGGCAAACAAATGTTTCACTTAGCAACATAGGTTTTGGGCTCAATTGTGGTTGTAGCTCAAGGACTACCTGTACTGCCGTTTTCCAAATAAGCAGCTTACATCGAGGTAACCTGATTCGCTTTCATTCACTTTTTCTGCAGTTGTAGGTTGTTTTAGAAATGGCCATTGGCCTTGCAGAAGAGACACGTACAACTCAAAAAGCAGAGTAAAGCAAAGTCCCTTTAGTTGTGAGAGACACATCAGGTCGACTGACTCAAGTTTCAGAATGCAGAATTAATAGAGGATACCAATGCAGTGGTGAGATTACACTTTGTATGACCATTATGATCACAACTAAAACCTCGGTGCCCAAACTGCATCTTGGGGCAGTCCCATTTCTATTTCAACATATTATGGTTATCACGAGCATTTTTCAGTCTGGACTCCATAAAACAGAAAAAGTTCCATCTCTGTTGGCAGCTGCCAAGTTGAAAGGCAAATACAGGCCAAGTTCAGAAGATCATCAAACCTAGATTTTATTCCCGCATAAAGGTCTCCCTCCCCCCTCCACTTTGGCAAGACAGAAATCTGCACTTCTCCCAATGCTCTTCCCAGGATAAGCATCCCCAGACAACCCCGAAATTTGTTGAGGAATACCAAGTATGCAGCTCCAAGTGGCAAGTCAGCTGGAGAGCGCAACAGAAAAAATGAGGCTCTGGAATGGGTAGGATGTTCATGCAGTCTTGGTGTTCTTCAGCTTCTGAGCCTAAGAGGAAAGCACTTTGCAAAACTCAGGGAATTAATGCTATTAAAGGGAAGATGTTGGAAAGAACAGCACAAGTTTTACACCGTGAAATGAAAACTTTCAAAGTTTTATTCTGGACTGCAGCTGTGTACAGAAATATAGTTGCAAGTATACAAATATCCCAACTGAAGCAAAATATCTCTTAATATCCAACAAGTTATCACAGAAGAGCTAAAAAAACAAATGCAAACGTAGTACCCCACCCCAGCCCCTTCAATAGAATAAATTGAAAATTGGTTATCAGTGCTTTGAGAAACCCACTGACACAAGCCAGGGATACACAAATGCACAATGGGCCAAATCAGGCTACATTCACATTGCAGGGTCCGGAAGGGGCTGCTCAATGGCTGCTTGATCTCTGTCCTGCCCAAAGCAAAGCAGGAATGCAGGAAATAAGAGGAAGGAAAGTAGGACACTGGAAGAAGGCAAAGCCTGGAGCCTCCATTTCCCATGATCCACGCAGCTTCCTTTGCAAGGTGACCAACACTCTGGGGAAGCTGGGGCAGAGAGATGCAGGGAGAGCCTCTCTAGCATTCACAAAGCTTTTGGCTCCAAGGAGACTCCATTGCCACAGAGGGGGGCTGACCCCCAAGCCGACAGAGCCCAAATGCAACAGCCTAAGCCGGCTGCTGCATTTATGGCAGAGGGGAAGGGAGGATCAGCCTGGTAATTGCTTCAGGACGTGCAGAAGTCTAGCTGAAAAAGGATTTCGTCCTTTGGGAAACTGCCTGCTCGCTATGGCTAAATCAGAAGCTGCTTGCAAAGATTGGGATCCACTCCCACCTATGAGTGACTATTGGCTTTTCTTCAGACTGAGAAAAAAATTAGGTCTGTGTGTGTGTGCACGCGTGCACACCTTTGAGTCAGTCTTGACTCCTGGCAACTGCCTGGATAAGTCCCTGCAGTTTTCTTAGCAAGATTTCATTCGTGGTTTGTCTCTGCCTTCTCCTGAGGTCTGAAGGAGAGTGACTAACCCAAAGTCATCATCTAGCTGGCTTTTGATTAAGGTGGAACTAGAACTCACAATCTCCAGGTTTCTAGGCAGAATCTTAATCAGTTAGATGTTACTATGGCTAATACGAATTGTGTGTTATTAAAAAAGAAGTTGCAACTTGCACAGCTTTGAAGAATTTCTGTGAGAACAAATACATTAACAAAATAATGTTTTATTTCAAACAATCCTGGTTTTGAAAAATGCTTTTTTAAAATAGCAGCAATAATTTTATCTAGATTTATGTGGCATGGCAAAAAATCAAGGGTTAAATTCAAAATTCTGCAGGATGCAAAAGATAGGGAGCATTAGGATTGCTTGACTTTATACTTTGCAGTCTGTTGTTTAATTTGGATGAAATGATGGGTCTTGCTGAGAAAAAAAAGAATGTTTGAAATGGAGGGTCATAATCTGAGGTTTGTTTGCTGTAGGTTTTTATTTGTAGCATAACAATGTGGATTTTAATTATGTGAAAAAGAATGCTTTGAGAATATGAAATAAATATAAACACTGGTTGTGCCTGAAGATACCTTTATTGACTTTTAGCAAAGAAGTATTCTACAGAACACCAGCAGCATATATGAAGAAATGACTAACAACTGATCTCAGAGGGCTATAGCTTTCAATGGTTTGGATAGGTACAGTTGATCCGGATAAAAAGACAAGTGGAACTGAAAAATATAAATTGGAATTTGAAATTGAAATGTACAGAAATGAAGAATGTGTAATAGAAAAATCTATGGAGATTCTCAGTCATCTAGGTCACAGTTGTCCCAAAAGTGCTTTTTCAAGAAGCAGCCGGACTTTCTGGTGTAGAGTTGCCTCTTGAAAAAAGAACCTTTGGGATAATAGGAAAAATGTATAAACTTTTCTTAAGAAGATGAACAAGTTGAAGATTGCATGACAAAATGGTCTGTTAATTTTAGATATAACATAGAGATTGATATTGGGAGAAAACCTGGGTAATTGATGTTAAATTTGCATTATGTTATAAATCTAAGGGAATTTTTTAAATAAAATGATGTATTATTGGTTTATGACACCAGGAAAGTTATCAAAAAATATAAAAGTATTTCAAATTAGTGTTAGAAATGTTAAAAACACGAGAGGATATTTTATAATGATGATGGACTTGTAAGAAAGCCAATAAAACTTTGGATACAAATTCACACAATGATGCAAAGAATCTTAAAAGATTACTATTTCCAAGAAACTAGAACTCTCTTTATTCAGTCTTATGGAAAATGAATTATAAAAAACTCATGGCAGACTGATCTTATAGATGGTAATTGCAGAAAGATTATCATAAACACAACTATGGAATGAAAGGTTAATGAAATCCCCACAGTGGAGGAATGGATTGTGAAAATGTCAGGATTTGCAGAAATGGTAAAACTGACCTACAGTATTTAGTCATAGAAAAAAAAACTTTTTTTGAATGATTGGAAATCGTATGGACTTCTTGCTGAAAGAAGAAATGAAAGTGATTTATGGGTTTGAAGATTAAGCCAGGCGTGGATTAAATAAGGGACTGAGGGATTATACATTTTATGATATATCTAAGGAGGGATTATTAAACCAAACCTGTTGAAAAGTCATTAAATTCTTTTCTTTTTTTTCATTTCTTGCACTTTCTTTTTTCTTTCAATTTGCTTTTTATTCTACAGGTAGTCCTCAATTTACGACCACAACTGAGATCAGAATTTCCATTGCTAAGAATGGCAATTGTTAAGTGAATCACACCCAATTTTACCACCTTTTCTGCCATGATTGTCAAGCCAATCACATAGTTGTTAACTGAATCTGTCTTCCCCCCATTGACTCTGTTTGTCAGAAGTTGGCTGGGAAGATCTCAAACGGCCGTCCCTTGACCCCGGGATGCTGGAACCAGCAGCTATGCACGCCAGTTGCCAGTGCTGGAATTTTGATCATATGACCATGGTAAGTGTGAGGATCGGTTGTAAAACACTTTTTTCAGTGCTGTTGTAACTTTGGTCACTAAATGAAAGGATGTATGTTAAGGATTACCTGTATGGGAAAATTCTTAATATAAACTTTAATAAAGGAGATGTACTGTATTTTAAAATACTACACTTTCTTTTAAACTGTAATCATCTTCCTGGGGCTTATAACCATGAAGCCTTACTTAATTCTACAAATGAATTCCATAATCCCTGCTTTAGCTAGGGAGCTTGACATAAAAGGCAGGGACTATCTCCCACAAGAAAAGATGGGTCCTTCTTCCCCGTTAGCCTTCTCATTCATCAGTGTCCCTCACATTCCTTGTGTCAGTGCCCTGAAAACAGCGAGGTGGGGAATGCAGCTTTTGTGCAGAAACGCAGCAAGTTCCAGCTGGATTGCTGAAGCAGCCAAGTGAAGGGCTTGCCAAGGGAAGCTCTGCTGATTCCGCTCCCTTTGCCCACAGAAAGCAGGAGCAAAGATGTAGGACCAGCCTCTGCCAGCTACTGAGCAGCCCCTTTGCTCAAAAAAGATACATTTGGTAACCAAATCACATATTCAAAATGTTGCACATTTAAATATTGACCTAAACTGGACCAAGGAAAAGTAAAAACCAACTAACAAAGTATCAGTTTCACCATTTTGCACAAGCAGCAGATGCTGATGTCACAAGAGGTGGCAAGAGGATCAGCAGAACCTCAGTTCAAAGGAGGATTGGTCCCAGATGTCTCAGCATTGGCCCCAAGCAGCTCACCAGACAGCCCCTGTTCATCCCCCCTTCAGAGAGGATGGGAGACCTCTTAACAAGGAGCTGACCTCAGACTGTGACACATACCCCCCCCCCAAAAAACCAACAACAACAACAAACTGGCTTAGGGACTTTTGCACTCTCCTCTCTGCCTCCCCATAATTCCCTCCACATGTGTGCATCTCTCTTTCTCAGCATCAGAATTAGGTTCAAGGAATCTATAGGATTTACAAGAGAGGGAAAGCAGAAAGTATTAGTGTTATAAATTAAAAAAACATGTTAGACATCAACAGAGAATAAAAGCGGAATCAAATCCCAGCTTTTAAGAAGTCACCCCATGGGACTCCCCTGCCAAGTCCCCCACAGCAGGAGGTCAATCCCTCGGCCATGAAGCTGCCTTCACGGCCAGCCAGCACTGATGGAATGGCCAGAAGAAGGAACACCTGCCACAAAAATTACAGAAACACTCCATGAAGATTTAACAAACCTGTCCCCTTTCCCCCATAACCAGACGCCATGTGGTGGGAGAAGAGACTATAAACTCACGTTTGCCACAAAAATCTGTGGCAAGAAGAATATATGTGTATGAATGTATGTGTGTATAATATATATATTATATTATATATATATATATATATATATATATGCCAATGTACTCATCTAGTACAAATAGCAAAATAGTTTATCATTTACTAAATACAAAATAGAGCTTTCCAAAAAATGAAACACACATTGGATATAAACCATCCAAAACTTGAACGACTGAAAACTGTATTCAAAATTAAATGACCTCGAGTAGGTCTCTTTCTGAAAAGTTCCCTTCATATTGGCAAAAGAGCCTGTACTACTGAAAACGTAACCCAAACTTCTTGGGACAGAACACATGGACCACTAACAGAAGAGACGGACTGGCACAGCATGAGAAAGACCCCCCCTCACAAGGGAGACAAGTGACATTCTTCTCAACACAGAAGACAAACAGCTGAGGCATACTCAAAACAGCCCCCGAGGTCAGCGAGAGCTGCACAGGGACACTCTGGAGTGGCAGACACCCCACGCATGGTGGATGCGCAAGAGACCTGGAGGTGGCTGCAGGCAGTGAACCCCAGGAGAGCATGCCAGGATCACGTGGCCTGGACCGCACTGGCCTTTTATCAAACACCTCTGGCAGGAGCGAGGCTGCTCCCCACCTTTGAGTTCAAAATGGAGCTTAGAGAAGGTCCCATGTTCCCAGCATGGAGCCTCCATCTCCCAGCAATGGCAATGGTGTCAAAAGCAACCTAAACTCTACCCTCCTTCCTTAAATCCTGCCATGCATTCACCACAAACATTTTTTTTCTCGTTTTCTGGTCCTCCGAAAAGTTAATCCTGTACATGGCAGAATATTTAAATAGAAGGGTGGGAAACTCCAGTGAGAAGCTTTAAGAAGAGTCAGCCACCGTTTGATCAAAGCAGACTCCGAAAAGAGCCCAATTCCTTAGACCAGCAACTGGTTCCTTCTGAGAAGGGAGAACAGCATAGCACTGAGGTCACTTGCGCCCAGCTGTCAGCAAGCTACAGCCCCGATCAGAGGCTGCCTTCCCTGCAAGGCCCTCCTGGTGCTCCCCAAACCTCCCCCACCCCAGGGGCTCCTCCACCACTCTGATGGGAGCAGCTGCTGCTTCAGAGCCCAATCCAGACATAAACTTTCACCACCCAACACGTGCAGCAACAAGCCATGATCCTGGGTGGGATTCACAGCATACACAGAAGACTTTGCCATACCACTCAAACCACATTTTTCAATGGAAACCATTTCCATACTTGGCCACAAATCATGGGAAACCGTCAAATGATTGAGGACACAGGAAATGCACCCAAAGAATTGTGAAAACCAGAAAAAGAATGGGAGAGGGAGAGAGCAAGCCCAATGTTCTTGTCTTGTGCTGCTGACACGTGACAGCCAAACTCCGCATCCGTCTCAGAACTGGGGACGGGGATAACAGTCCAACTCATGCCTGGATAACATAAAACCTGGCTTTGCCCCCCACTTCAGCAGAACTTCCAGAGTGGTGTTCTTCCAAAGCAAGAATGAAAATGTTGCTTCCGGCCATCTTTCAACGAAGAGTTAACGCTACTTTGCTAAACTCCAGAATCACCAGAGATAATGCAGTCTGTCCAGTGCAGGATTTCTGAATGAAAGAAAGAAAACAAAAAGACATTTATAAATAACACAAAGACTCACCCTCCCTCCCTTGCGTTCAGCAGCCTTCAACAACAGGGTTTTCTCCGTGAAAAGGTACTCAGTGAAAGGCTGTCATCAGATTAAAAGTGGATACAACCCAGCACTGTCATCAGATTAAAAGTGGATACAACCCAGCACTCTTAAGGGCTCATGTTGGAGCCCCTACAATGGCAGCCACTCCATTCTTCTCTATGCTTATTGCTTCCACAGACTCCTGTCTCGGAAGTCCATAAAAAGGTAAACAGGACAAAACACCAGCAGCCTCACCATAGTTGCTTCTATCTGCTCTGGCTCTGGTGACAGCTGGGCACAGCCTGCCACCCTTTGATGAGTGAAACAGTAGCCGGTGATTCAATTTGGGACACTTTGGAGCTTGTAGAGCAAAGCTGTGAGATCTGCTACCTGTAGGTTAGAGTCGTGATCCTCTTGGCTCTTCAGGCTGCTAAGCAGGCTAGGTTCATTTATTTCTTTGTAAAACTGATTAGCCACCCATCCTACCACAAGGCAACTCTCGTCATCTTCAGGCTGGTGCCTTCGGCTTCGTGCCTGTGCGAGCAAAGCGTGATCGGAGCTGCCGTCTCTCTATAAATACTGGTGGGGAGGTGTGGGGTGCTGGTTTTGTTGCTGTGAGCGGGTTGGTTGCCTGTGTTGTTACATCTTGATTAGCTGATGGAGTTGATGTTTGCAGATTAGTGGCTGTTTCGTAACATCCTGTGTGGGTGAGGTCCTTGATGTGTGCCCATTAGTCTTTTGTGTTTTAATGACCTGGGTAATGGGCTGTGTGTTAACATCCTGAGTTCTAGTGTTGTGATATCCTGAGTTTTTTGATGTAATGTCCTGAGCAGATGGCTATGATGCCACATGCACATGCCGGGCTTTGGTTTGGCTCCAAGTTTGAGCTCTTGCCATGTGTTCATGGCGTGTCAGTTTGCTTTGTGTGGGGATCGGAGGGGGGGTGTAGCAGCTGGTGATGCCGCCGTGGTCTGCACCCCAAGCCTCCATCGTCCAGGATGATGACAGCAAAAACAACACAGCTGATTACAAGTGGGAGACAGCTGGAAGGGCCTATTACACGTGCAAGGGCTAAATTGATTAATGGCATATAAAGGCAGAGATCTCTGTAATGGTAGTTTAATACTCTGACAATGTCAGCAGATGGCTAATGAAAGCTTAGTAAAATAAAATTTTAATTCTTTTAAAATTTTAAAATCTTAAGTTCTGGAGTTCGCAGTATGTCTGCCTCTCTTTTTTTTACTAATATACCTGGAACTCGTATTTTTAGAATAGTTTGTAATATATATATATATATATATATTACAATATATATATATAATGATATAATAAATATATATAATGATATAATGATATAAAAAATCTGGATAATCAACCTAGCTCTAAAATGGAGAGGGACGAGAAGGGGGTAGGAGCTCTTTTAACTCTATTAACCACCCCAACACTGAAGCCCCTCCTTTGGAACCCCAAGCCAGCTGGCAGAGCCAGATCTTTAAGCTCTTGCCAAAAGTCAGGAGGGTTGGCGCCAACCTTACTTCGGGGGGCAAGACATTCCAAAGGACAGGCGCAATGGCAGAGAAGGCTCTACTCCTGGACCCCAATAGACAGAATGCCCTGGCCGATGGGCCCAACCCATGCCTGCTCTGCCAGCACCAGTGGGGCGGGCCAATCCCACTGGGATGAGACGGTCCTTCCAGGAGCCTAAATTCAAGCAGCCATCATTGCTTCTCTGAAAGAGGAGATTATGCAGGGTTGTAAAGGATGGGGGAAACGGAATCAATGACAGAAGAGGACACAGTTTATCGGGATCCCTTTCACTCTGGATTGGGGCCCAATAATGCTGAAGTTAACATGGCAGTGCTAGAGTGCCTTTTTTATAACTGCATTCAACTTGGCAGAATTTCAACTGCCTCGAGGTTTTAAAGAAAAAAGTGTCTAGCAATAATGACTAAGATGATATATTATGGCCGACACACTCCATCCACACAGTTTTCTAAGCAAAATCATTCAGTGGTAACCAGTACCTTTGGATATAGAGCTGCCTTTACCTCCAAAGAACCCCAAAACAAGTGCCTGATTCAAGAATTAGGCCTGTGCTCAATCGGCTCGCAAGATGAGCGCTAATCCCATCTCCTTTCTAGGCAAACAACAGCACAGAGAATGCTACATGCTCTCCAATTTCATTAATTAAAAACTTCTGCAGCTTGAGAAAGGTTCTGGCTTACCTCACTTTTAGAAGGAGCCAGCCATGGTATTGTTCCCCTGATTTTGTAGGGATACAAGCAAGTCATCAATCTTCTTCATATTCTGATTGGTGGTCATTGCAGAAGAAATCTGAGGACTCTCTGACATTTGCTGGGACAGGAGAGCTGTGACAGATGGCTGTGCCTCATTCTGTGCTTGGCTGAGGGTCATCATCTGCTCTGACACGGAACCCGGTCCAGATGTTAAGAGCTGGCCACAACCTGCTGAAGAAACAAAATTCCAACAACGCATCTAGATCAAGGCTGATGACCAACATGGTCTTGCAAACATCACTCAGAGCCAAGTGTAAACTTGCTGAGCAGGGAGAACTAAGCAGAATCATGAATTTGAATGCGAATTTCAACCCAAGTAGTTACAATGCCCATAAAACCCCACAGCATTTTGATCTGAATTAATTCTGTATTTGTGTTTTCATAGCTTAGGTATGTAAAACAGAATGCCAACATTAGAGGCAGACCAGCAAGGAAAATCTAGTGCTCTTTACACTCAGACTTACTGTCTTGGATGCCAAAGAGGAATATCCCGGAGGTCTGTGAGGATGAAGTGGAGTTCTGCAGCTGGCTGATGGAACTTCCAGCAGATGCATTGTGAAACAAAGAGGCTGCTTGCTGTTGCTGCTGCTGCTGCTGCTGGGGGGGCGATGAAGTGTCCTGGATGTTTGGCAGGTTGCTCTGTGAGGAGTACAGAGTGGGTTGCTGCAACTCCTGCTGGCTCATGTTGCTCTGCAAGGCAGACATGGAAGCCGATGATATGAAGAGGGTGACTGGCTGCTCCTGAGGGCTGGGGGATCCCTGGACCAGCTGGATCTGGGGGGAGCCATGGAATAAACTTGGTGGTGGTTGTGGAGGCTCAGCTTGGGTGGAGCCTGAACTCTGGCTCTGGAACTGCATGGGCTGCTGCTCTTGGCCCCTCTGGGCCAGGCTACTCTGGGGGTGGAAGAGAGGCTGGCTCTGCTGTTGCTCCTGGCTGGTCATCGTGCTGGGATTGGAGCTGAACAGCAGCGTTGGCTTCTGAGAAGCCACGGAGCCCATGGTGTTCTGACTGAACCGCATGTTTTGCTGCTGCTGCTGCTGCTCTTGGGTGGAGGCACTATTCTGAAGAGCCACAAGTGAATGCTGAGCTTGGAAAATGCTCCCCTGTTGGTTGGGAGGCACCCCAGAGGGAGGGAGGGGGCCTAGAGCTACTTGGGCCTGGAAGAGACCCTGATGTGTTGACTGGTGCTGCTCCTGGGTGAGCAGAGGGCCTTGGAGGTGGGGTTGCTGGAAGGAGGGTTGCTGCTCAGTCCTGGCCGGGCCTTGCAAGGGAGAAAGAGAGCTTTGTGTGGCAAAGAATGGCATCTGCTCCTCCTGCGCAACGGAGGAGCCCAAAGCATTCTGGGAGAGAAACAGGCTGCCTGCCTGCTGGTCCGGAACAACTCCTAGGCTCCCCTGGGAGTGAAACATGGGCTGCTGCAGCTGTTCAGAAGAAGAGGCAGCATTCTGGCTGTGAAAAAGAGAACTGGGGGTCTCCTGAGAGATGCTCTGGGTGTCCCCAATGGGGCTCTGAGAGTGGAACAGCTGAGGCTGGGAATGGGCAGCCGGGGGCAAAAAACTGCCGGCCTGGAGAGAGAGCATCTCTCCACTCTGCTGGAAGAGCCCCCCGCCCTGCTGCTGGGCTCCGGTGCCTTGAACGGCAGCCATCATGTCCTCTGAGGAAGGAAAAAGAGCAACCTGGGCCTGGCTTTCCCCACTGTGTTGCATTTGGACCATCGCCTGAAACACGGTGCTCTGCATCTGTTTGGCTTGTCCTGAAACTTCTTTGCCTTCCGCAGAGCCCGAAGCAGGGAACATGGCAGAGCCGCCGGTGGGCACCTGCTCCTGCTGCTGCTGCCCTGGAGTACCTGCGTCGTTGCTGGAGACACTGGTGGGAGGGAACAGCTCACACTGCATTTGCATGTCTTCGTTTGCTGACAGCCCACCTATCAAATGGGAAGTTGGCGGGTACACTGGGGACTGCTGGATGCTTCCATTTCCCGAGGAAGAGGAGGAGGAGGAGGAGGAGGAAGAGGAGGCGAACAAGTCGGATGGCATGCGGCTGGAGGCCTGGCAAAGGCCCTGCTGCATGTCAATCACCATCGCAGCAGACGTCTCCATCGCTTGCGCCTGCTGCTGCACTTGCTGCTGGCCAGCCAACGAAGTCTCCGGTTGTGGGTGCATGGTCTCGGTTCCGCTGGGGAGAAGGTCTTCTACTCTTGAATGAACGGTGTCCGATGAAGAAAACATGCCCTGGTTGACTCCATTCTGGATTTGGCTAACCTGCTGGAAAATTTCTACATTGAGCTGCTCTTGAACATCCTCACTCTCGGAGCCTGAAAAGAGGACAGAGGACAGCTGCTGCTGAGCTTCCAGGACTTGCTGAACCAGGTCAACGTTTCTGCTGCTGTTGCTGCCACTGCCACCAGGGCTGGACTGAAAACTCCCCGCCTGCAGCTGCTGGATTGTGCTCTGAAGCTGGCTCACCCCGCCGGCTGAGGAGAACATGCTTGAGGAGATCTGCTGCTGCAGTGCCTGGCTGGACTCCTGAAGGGGAGGTGGCTGTTGGGCGGCCTCCGTCAGCTGGGACAAAGCCATGGCTGTGCTGTCCGATTGCAAAGCCTCTCTGGAGGAAGGCTCCCTCAAGGGGAACTGGGAGGGCTGCTGCAGAAGGGTGTCGCTGTTCTGCAGTTGGTTCGGAGCAGCGGCGGCTGGAAAACTGCCAGACTGCACCAGGTCCGGAGCCTGAAGGGTAGGCCTGGTCTCAGGAGGATACTTTGGTTGCAGGGGCTGCTTTTCGCTCTCTTGAGCTAAATGAGAAGCAGAAGAGGAGAAAGGGCCGTTCCCCAAGATGCTGGATATGGTGGTCTCCAAAGTTGTTTGAGATTGCCCAATGGCGCTGGTTGTCTGAAGAGAAACATGCACACATAGCAGTAAGATTCAGAATTTTCACTGCCTAACCATAATTCAAGGAGAAAAATAAACTATCCTGAATTCTACATTATATACTTTCCACTGAAAATATTTCCAATTTTTAGAAATCCATTCCTTACATCATTAATTTGCATTGTTATGACCACCACCCTGAAGAAGAAGGTTATGTTGTTTTATCAGAACGGATTATAATATCTTAAAACCACAGTCAGAAGACATAAAGCCTTTTTCCCCAGGTGATTTTGCTAGAATGCCGACAGTTCTTCTGGTGGGCAAAACTGTTAATACATGAGGTTTGTTATGCCAGTTCAATTTTAAAAGGACGGCATATTATTGTATTATCACATCTTTCCTTTGCTTATTTACAAGCAAGGGGAAAAAAGTATTTTCATTTCAGTTAAACTCCTCCTATCTATTGGAAAAAATGAAAGAAATATTTGTAGTCTTACCAAAGCTGTCACATTAGATATCAAACTACATTTGATGTTAAACAAATGTCCTGAATAAAATCTTTATAGTTTTCTTCTTTTTTTATAAAAGACATATGCCCAGAATCATTTTTCTGCTTACATTAAAGGCAGGAAGAGACATTTTCTCGGCCACAAGTTCCATTGGAGCAGCCTCTTCATTCTTAACGACACTGTTTGGCCTGAGAGGAGTTACCAAGGCACTGGGGAGAAGATTTACTTGGTCCAGCTTGCAGCCACTGGAGTTCGCTGCAGGAGGAAAAGAAGAGAATTCACTCCCTAAGTCAGCCCCAGGAGGATGAAACTCAAAAATACAGCATCTAATGCAGAGAAGAGCTGATGATCTTTCCTGACAAGTCCTGGCTGTGCACTAGCTTGTCTCTGCAGTAAAAGACACTCCTGAAAGCCAATGTCAACCCAAATGGCTGCTACACACACAAACACCCATGTCACCCTGAGGATTGACACATCTCTTATGGTTCAGCTTATCAGCACAAACACCTTAGCCTGCTTGTTAGGCCAGGTAATCTCTGTCTTGCTTGTTTATTACATTTATATCTCACCACAGTAAAAATCATTCTCAGAGTTAAGTTAGAGGTTCACGAGACTTTGTAATGCATTTTTGGAAGTTGGCCGGGAAACAGATCGAAGGAGAAATGGCACACATTAACAGAAAACATCTGTAGCCCTAAAGTTCCTAAATAAGTCACTCAATTGTGATGGCCCTTTTTCAATGTGATGAACTCAGCAGTTTTACAAAGTCTTCGGCTAAGATGATAAGAAAGGCTGCAATTGAGAATTACCTTTGGCTGCATCATCAAAAGAGCAGGGCTGGGTTGGGCTGGATATTTCCTGCTTCACATTCACATTCAGAGTCTGAGCTGCTGATGAAGAAATGGAACATTCAAGAGAGATGTAAGCAAGGAAATTATATGTCAAGCTTCCCAGTTTTTCAGTTCAACAATAAGTACAAGTGTACACATTTCAAGAACCAAAGGCCAATGATTGAAACATTCAGCACAGCTCCCTGAAATCTGTGGTAGTTGCACACAGTCTCTTTCTCAAACTGCAAGCACTGCCCAGGATTTCCTCAGTCCAATGATTCGTGTTCCCTGGCCCAGCAGTGCAAACTTTGACTAAGACCCCACACCTTGCAAATATTGTGCTTTTTACATACATGTATCTGGAGTGTATGTAAATTGTTGTATGTCATGTGATCTCCCAGCATTGGTCATGACAAAAATCCCAACAGAAACAGGTGTAGTTATTTGCTGGTCATGGTAAGGTGGCACCTTCACAATCAGATGATTCTGAAAGGAAAAAAAAAAGTGGCAAGATATTAACAGCCTCCAATCTGGGATATCTGACATAAGAAAATTTAGATGTTTATCAAAAAGGGCCTAGCTCTCCTTCATTTCAGAAATCTGGCATACAAACAAAAACTTGCTGGTGACTTCCTTTGCTAAAATTTATCGAAGGGGGGAACAGAGGGAAAGACAGAGGACTCAAAACAAACTCAAGTTTCCTCTACGGAGCTCTTAAAGGCAAGTAAGTACATTGGCACTCAATCACACAAACTCTGAACGTGAATCTGACTTTCCAAGCTGAGGAAAACTTCCAACAGAGTCCCAATCCTAACAACCACTAAGGAGAAGGAATGGATAGGGAACTCCCAATCCAAGACCTGCCCTGTTCTTTGGACTCAAGAGAACTACTAGTTTGCTAACAGCTGCTTCTGTGAGGACAACAGAGCCCAATCCCTTTTTCCACCACAGAAGTGAAGAGGATTTCATTTAGGTATGTATGACTTGATGTTCAAACATATAGCTTTACAGCTGTGTTGCTCCCTAGAGTAGCCTCGAGGACCTGCGGTGGCACAGTGGTGAAAATGCAGTATTGCAGGCCGACCCTGCCCACTGCCAGGAGTTCGATTCTGACCAGCACAAGGCTGACACAACCTTCCATCTTTCTGAGGTCAGTAAACAGGGACCCAGATTGTTGGGGGCAATAAGCTGATTCTGTAAACTGCTTAGAGGGCTGTAAAGCACTGTCAAGTGGTATATAAAGGCTATTGCTGGCCTTCCTGAGGCAGAAAATAAGGGCTATAAAATAATTTTACATTTGGATCTTATATTTTTGATCTGAATGCAGATTTACTGCAAGATTTGTTTAAATATAACAACTGACCACCTTACATGAAATTACCATTTTGAGTCTGACATCTTATCACAGCTGAAACTAGGACTCCCAAATGGCCAAATTCAAAAAAGTTGGAATGGCTTCCACACAAAAGAGAATTTAAAGAAGAAATGAAATGCACAACAATTTTGCAATTTAGGGAAAGACTGGGAGAGAGAAATAAAATAAGCAAAAGGCTGCAGCAGAAAATAACTCACCTATAAGCAACTTAACAACAACAACAAAAAACTCCGATCTGATACTACTTTTCCCTCTAATTCTGTTTGCTTAAAAGATCTGAACTCAGATTATTGCTTTTACCACAGTCTTAATCTACATTCAGCCATAAAGCTTCCAGAGATTTCAGAAAATTTATCCTTCCCATTAAGCACAGGAATAAAATGCATCTACATGCCTAACTGAACCTCACTTTCAAAACATATCATAAAATGGGATCGTTTTAATAGTAATGCCTAAATTAATATTCTCAAAATCAAATGGATAATTACATCCCTGAGGAAGCAAGTACCTGATGAAACAGCTCCATGTCAATTTCTGCCTCGGCTTTCCAGGAGCTTTCATCTGTTTGAAAGCAAGGCAGGAAAGTTGTTATGCAAAGGCACCAGTCAGCTGTTGAGGAAGTCACAGCTCTCACGCTGGCCGTTCCAGTCCCCCTGGAGCTTCATTTGCCCAACCTCGGCACATACACCTTGATACCCACCAGAGATGTTCTCTTGGAAGATCACTTTGGTTCCCTTCAGAAAATTCTTCCCAATCAAAAAGACCTCCTCTTCTCCTTTCACTGAACAGCTATGCAGGCTTTTCTTGAGGATTTCCGGCACACCTGCAGGTTGAGCTATGCCAAAAAGAAAATGAGATTTAACTGAAAATACCCACACTATGAAAAGCTTAAGCAAAAGTCAGATTCAAAAAGTAAGACTCCTTTTCCATTTACAGGGGAAAGTACAGCACAATTCCCTCCCGGGAACTCATGGCCAGCTGTTGCCATTTTCAGAATGGAACACATTTATGAGCTGAGGTCCTAATGTAATATCCAAATTCTGTTTATCTGTGTTTTATTCTTCACGTCACTAAAATAGATCATTTTATGCAAATCCTCTTAAGTTCTGTTTCAGTAAATACTAAAAATAGCTTGTGGTTTTGTTTTGGTAAAGTTTAATCCTCTGTAGATAAGCAGGATAGCTCAACAAGTAAGGAGGCTTTTGGTCATTAGGAGCCCTGCCTTACAGTTCGACTTTGCCACTTACTGCACAGAACGGGCGAGGACGGAGTCTGTAGCGTTAGAACAGAACCATCTTTCCGCGGGATGTTGACACGGAAAACCAGTCTGGCTCGAGTGCTTTTTTTCTTAGAACCAGCGATGCCTATTCGGGCTTCAACATCTGCATTCCTCAACTTCAGAATTCCAACACAGTCCACCCTAGCAACATAGGATTAATGTTTTCATTATTTTAGTCCTGCCAATACATGGGAAGTGGCAAGCTTTTCAAGAGATGCAGCAGGTCTGCAGTGACAACAGAAGCAACCACCAAATTATCACATTTCAATGCCCTGTAGCTGTGGTAGTAAGAAAGCTGACCTGTCCAAGATCAAGCATTCAACTTTACTTTGGAAAACAAGATATCTGTTACATGGACCGTCACTAGATATTGTTGGATAATTCCTTTTCCCACCAACAAAAGGTGACAATACAACAGATGCTTTAGGACAGGGACCCCCAACCTTTTGGGCAGCAGAGACTGGTTCCATGGAGAAAGATATTTTCTGCGGATCAGAGGGGGCGTGGTTCTGCATGCTGCCTGCATGTCATGGATGGGGCTTCGCTTGTTTGTGCGACCTGGTTGCTAGCATGGCGCAGCCTGGTACTGATTCATGGACCAGGGATTAGGACCCTTAGTTTAAGAGATGAAAATACATCACTGCATGCAATGGACATAAGAGGCTAGTTTTTGTAGAAGGATTGGAATCACCTAACAATGCTGGTTTTTAAATACCTGGAAAACACTGCAATAAAAATAATTCGTTAAATTTATATGCTACCCAACTCCCAGGCTTCTAAAATGGTGTACAATTTGATTTCTTTGTTAAAAGCAAAAGGTCCTGAGAGCTTTAACTTGCCATACAATATGCAATTAATAGAATGAGTTAATGACAATTCAGTTCAGATTGTCTGGAAAAGTCTGTTATCTCAGGCCCAGTGCCCGGCTGTCAGTCTTTGCCTCTGAGGGGTCCCCACAGTGCAGAAACATGTTAGTCCACCATGTTTCCTGACAGTTAGAACTATTAATCAGTGGAACAACTTGCCTCTAGAAGTTGTGAATGTTCCAACTATGGAAGTTTTTAAGAAGAGATTGGACAAAGATTGGTCTGAAATGGTAAAGGGTTTCCTGCCTGAGCAGGGGATTGGACTAGAAGACCTCCAAGATCCCTTCCAACTCTGTTATTATGTATTCTGTTTCCATCCAGAATCCAACAGCCTCCCTCCCACCTTTTCAAGCAGCACTAAGATTAATCCTCTCTCTGCAGATATATTTAAACATAGAAATAAACAATATTCCAAAACAAAGAAACAGAAATGGCATTACCGATTTACTTCAGGGTTCAGATCTGACTTTACTAGGGGGAATTACGTCAACTGGCTGAATGCTCATCAATGGACCAACTAATCATCAGTATGAAACTACATTGCTTCTCCCTCTTGTGAGAATGAACAATTTATACACTGCAGCATTGGAAAACAGGCTTTCCTCAAACAAGTTTTACATTTCCCAAATGAAGGAGAATTTAGGGCCCAGCTAAAAGACCCTTCACCCAAATCCATCATCCCAGGGAAAACAAAGCATTTGACTCAGGATAAGATGTCAAACGGGACCAACTTCCAAAGAGAGACTTGCAGTATTCTAGGCATTAAGAGTGGGAATGTGGAGCTTGCCGAGGGACTTCTGTAGAGTGGCTATTTTCAGAGCCACCACTAAGTCTGCCTATCCCCTTCTGCTGTGTTCAGAGAGGCCCTGAGTGAAGGGCTTGTGTGGAAAAGCAGAGACAGACTCTCCTGTGAAGTTCAAACAGTTTCAGAAGAGATCATGGGAAGGCACTTTTTGTCAAGAGCAATTAGAATACAAACAGATTACCCAAAGAGTGTGTGTGTGTGTGTGTGTGTGTGTGTGTGTGATAATAATCAGAAAAGTTGTTCACTTTTGCTGATAAAGAACTGGAAAGCTGTTAGTCATAACCAGAACACCAAGGAAGCCGCTAAAGGTTGATGATGAGAGTCCACAAGCTTTCCTTCCGGTTCACATTGCAGCCTGAGAGGGGAGAGAAATCCTCTCAAAGAACCTCCATACTTCTTTTTACTAAGAACAGAACAGAACAGAACAGAACAGAACAGAACAGAACAGAATAGAATTTTTTATTGGCCAAGTGTGATTGGACACACAAGGAATTTGTTTTGGTGCATATGCTCTCAGTGTACATAAAAGAAATAAATGTAATTTTAGCCAAAAATGGGTCTAACACCACCCAGAGTGCTACTCTTTGTGTTTGGGGCCCTTATAAAACTTATTAGTAAATAAGTAAGAATCCCAATGTCAGATTTACTCTCATGAAGACATTAACCCTGACAGTGTTCCCAGAGACGAGCAAGGCAGGATGGAAGTCTATCAAGACTGACAAAGGCACCAGCAGGGCAATGAAAAGGGACTCACGCCAGGGTCATGCTGTTACTTGGATCCAGGCCCACTTCAATGACAGTCGTGCCCTCGATGTCCACCTCTTTGCAAGGCGTGGTGTTCCGCCCTGTGACCCTGCAGGCCTGATAGAATCCGTGGGGCTTCACCCGGCCAGAGTCATTACCCACAAATATCTGTAACGTCACAGGATCGTTGTGACCTTCCAGCTGGAATCACAAACCAAGAGTTAATGGACCACGTGAAGCACTATTAATCTGCCAACAACGCAAGCACAAACATTTTTTGAACAGCGAACACTGACTGGTACCAACAGTCTTCCTCTGCTGAGCAAAACAGATGAATTCTTTGGATTTTAAACATTTTGATATTTTTAGTTAGGGGTTGGACTTCAGGGCGCCACTCCTCCATCGCAGGGAGGCAGAGCCGATTAAGTGGTTCCGCCCCAGATGCCTAATGGACCCTGAAGGGTTCCAGAAGGAGCTTGGGGAGATACCTGACTCCCTTGTCCACAGTCCGGCCGAGACCCTGGTAGCTGCCTGGAATAGGAGCATGAGTGGCGTAGGAGGCTAATGCCTCCTACTAAGGCAGCATTTAACATCCAGCTGCCTGCAATTACTGCGAGTTCAATTCTCACCAGGCTCAAGGTTGACTCAGCCTTCCATCCTTTCTAAGGTGGGTAAAATGAGGACCCGGTTTGTGGGGGCAATAAGCTGACTTTGTATAAAATATACAAAAGTATGAAGGCTATTGCTTAACGCATTGTAAGCCGCCCTGAGTCTCCGGAGAAGGGCGGCATATAAAAATAAATAAAAATAAAAAATAAATAAAATAAAATAAATAGGGCAGCATCTGGGGCACTGGACCAGATTGCACCTTTGCGACCTCTCCATGGCGGTGGATCCAGGAAAGCTGCCTGGTTTACCGAGGAGCTCCGGGAGATGAAGCACCAGAAGAGACGTCTAGAGCGACGCTGGAGGACCAGTAACTCCGAATCTGACCGAACACTCCTAAGAGCCTATATTAGGACTTATTTAGTGGCGATATGGGTGGCAAAATGTTCACATTTTTCTGCACTTATTGCATCCACTGATTCGCGCCCAGCCGCCCTATTTAGGGTGACTCGTTCTCTCCTTAATGTAGGGGGAGTGGAGGAGCCCTTGCAGGGTAGAGCTGAGGAGTTTGTGCAGTTTCTGTCAAATAAAGTCACTCAGATTCGGATGGACCTGGACTCTGATTGGGCAATTCCGACCGAGCTGACGGGGGCAGGTCTTAGTCCTATTGTGTGGGAGGAGTTTGAGCCAGTGACTCCTGAGGAAGTGGACAAGGCTGTAGGAGCGATGAGTTCCTCCACTTGTTTGTTGGATCCGTGCCCCTCCTGGCTGGTTTTGGCCAGTAGGGAGGTGACACGAGGCTGGCTCCAGGCTTTAGTTAACGCATATTTGAGAGAAGGGGCCTTCCCGCAACCATTAAAGGAAGCGGTTGTAAGGTCCCTCCTCAAGAAGCCTTCCCTGGATCCAGCAGAATTAAAGAACTTTCGTCCAGTCTCCAACCTAGCCTTTGTGGGAAAGGTTGTAGAGAAAGTGGTGGCACTTCAGCTCCTGCGGTCATTGGATGAAACGGATTATCTGACCATTTTCAGTCTGGCTTCAGGCCTGGCTACAGCACGGAAACTGCTTTGGTCACACTGATGGATGATCTCTGGCGAGCCCGAGATGGGGGTCATTCCTCCATCTTGGTACTACTTGAGCTCTCAAGTAGGCTTTTGATACCATTGACCATGGTATCCTTCTGGGACAACTAAGGGAGCTGGGAGTGGGAGGCACCGTGTTACGGTGGTTCTCCTCCTATCTCTCTGGTCAGTCACAGTCGGTGTTGGTTGGAGGACAGAGGTCGACCCCTAGGCCCCTCATTTGCGGGGTGCCTCAGGGCTCGGTCCTTTCTCCCCTCCTATTTAACATCTACATGAAGCCGCTGGGTGAGATCATCCGACAATTCGGGGTGAGATATCAGCAGTACGCCCATGATACCCAGCTGTATAGCTCTACCCCGCGTCAATTCAGTGATGTAGTGGATGTGATGTGTCGGTGCCTGGAAGCTGTGAGGGTCTGGAGGGAGTCAACAGGCTCAGACTTAACCCAGACAAGACCGAGTGGCTGTAGGTATTGCCTCCTAAAGACTATGTTGATTGTCCATCCTTGGTTCTGGGGGAGGGGGAGAAATTGTCCCCCTCAGAATGGGCTCGCAATTTGGGTTTCCTCCTAGATTCACAGCTAAGATTAGAGCAACATTTAACAGCTGTAGCTAGGTGGACCTTTGCACAAGTTCACCTGGTGCAACAATTGCAACCCTACTTGGATCGGGAGGCTCTCCTCACAGTCACTCATGCCCTTGTCACCTCACGGTTAGATTATTGCAACATGCTCTACATGGGGCTACCCTTGAGAAGTGTTCGGAGACTACAGTTGGTCCAGAATGCAGCCGCGCGAGCTATTGTGGGTGCACCTAGATACACCCATATTACACCAATTCTCTGCGAGCTGCACTGGCTCCCTATTGGTCTCCGGGCACAATTCAAGGTGTTGGTTACCTTTAAAGCCCTACATGGCTCAGGGCCAGGTTATCTTCGAGACCGCCTTCTATCACATAGCTCCCAGCGACCGGTAAGATCCCACAGAGTTGGTCTCCTCCGGGTCCCATCAGCTAAACAATGCCTTCTCTGTGGCTGGCCAGCTCTCTGGAACCAGTTACCTCTTGAGGTCCAGACCATTCCCACCCTATTGGCCTTCCGAAAAGCGGTGAAAACCTGGCTTTTCCGGCAGGCCTGGGGCCACTGATCTCGCTGTTGCGATCTTGTGAGATCTGGCCATGAATGGTGTGAATGGGTTTTAATGTTTTAATTTTTAAATGTTACTATAATGGTTTTTTTAAATGCATTGTAAGCCGCCCTGAGTCTCCGGAGAAAGGCGGCATATAAATTGAACTAATAAATAAATAAATAAATAAATAAATAAATAAATAAATAAATAAATAAATACATACATACATACATACATACATACATACATACATACATACATACTATCAAACCCTCAAGTTGATTTTATTGTATTCATATTTTAAGCATATATAAAATGTTGTTTCCAAAAAGGAAGCATTTTCAAAAGACAGAGTCGACTTTTTATATATTATACTCTCTTGTAGAAAAATGCTTATGATGAAGCCAGAAGCCACTTAAGAATTTAATGCTATTCTTTAGAAACTGTGCATATATCCACGGGATCTAAATATTAGTGTGGAATTAAATGAAATACATCTTCATTTTTCAGTGAAAAAAACATACCGTTTCACCCCAAATAAGACATCCCCTAATAATAAGCCCAATCGGGCTTTTGAGCACATGGCAACAAGACCAAGCGCTTATTTCAGGGTTCAAAAATATATAAGACAGGGTCTTCTTTTCGGGGAAACATGGTACTAGATAACTAACTTATTTAAGTGTCTCCTTTTCAGTCAATTACCCCAGAGGTCCACTACACTTTCTGCTCTATTTGTTTGTGCAAAGTCAATGAATATTTGGAATCAAGTAATACACACAAAACAAGGGTCATCACATATTTTTTTCAACCAGAATTGCAATATTCTCTAGGAGACTGAAATGAAAAACCAGTGACAGCAACCCTCTTTCATTCAGGAGAGGCCGCACAGATGGTGCTCTGTGCATTTATTTGACATAAAGAGCCAAGAGTAGCCCCTGCTCTATATTTACACTCCTTCCATCCAGCTAGAAAGGCTTCCCTGTCTTAAACCAAAAAATATCCAGTCCTTTGCCGGGAACAACAACATCACCACAAACCTGAGGATTGGACAACTTTCATCCTGAGAAATCTGACTAGCCCACTCTCAGAAACTCCAGTAAGGTCAGAGGGAAGGGCAGCTCTCAGGCCCTTCTGGCATACCTTGACAGTAGGGAATCCCTGCTGGGTTCTGTCTTTCACTGAGCCTCGGCTTCCCTCAGTGAGGTAGCGAGCTCTGTGTTGAGTCTCCGGCTGTACCAGGATCTTCAGCTCTTTGCCTTCACTTTTGCTCAGGTACTGACCACACAACATAGGGCTCTTCTTTCCTCCAGTCGCCTTGGGGACTTCTGAGGTTCTGAGATATTAAAGCAGATTAATAAACAGGTTACCAAAGGCTTTCCTTCCAAACAAGTGACGTGGCCAGGGAAACCAGGAGGCACAGAGACATACATGCAGACCTACATCATTTCTCTAGTTCCCTTTCACAAAAATTGTGTCACTTAATTAAAAGAACATAGCCAGAAACCTAAAAACCTATATTTTTAACTAGTAATTAGAGGATAAAATTTATAGTTATATTTTAACCATAAACAGTTTAAACAACCTCCTTAGTTCACCAGCTTGCATGAAATGCCAGTTCCTGGAACAGTTAACCTAGCGCATCTTCACAAATGTCACCTGGTTAAAATAAATCCTGATCATTTCTAGACCAAACGCTTCCTAGGCCCTATTGCTATATACTTCAGGCAAGTATATGTTTAAATACATTTTCAAACTGATGTTTTTAGATTAAAATATATTTAATTTCAGCACATTAAAATAACTGCATTGACTGTGACATAGCTATCTAGGCTGTGGACATTTAGACTAAATCCTGTATAAAATGGCTGCCGAATTTTTTTAGTATATCATGTCGACCCATTCACGCATGGCACTTTCTATGCATTTTAAAATGAGAGAAACTGAAATTGTGACATTTAAGTAAGCTGGGTTGCAATTATTTCTTTCTTTCGTTGAGAACAAATATATTAATGGAAAGAATTCATGCCACCAGGCTGAAAAAAACTATATTTGATGCAGTTCTCCTGAGCTATTTAAAGACAGATCACATGCATATTTTTCTACTGGCAACACGAAGATGACTTTTCAGAAGTAAATGAATCAAAAGAGAGTTTAGTTTTATAATAAATAAATTTAAATAAACCGGGGGGGGGAGATAGCAATTAGTTCCCATTGGTAACACCATGCATTCAAAGTGAGATGCTGCATTTCTATGTTATCTATCAAGCTTGCTTTGCTCCTGATCCTTCAGGAGTTCGTTTGCAGAGGCAATATGGCAACGGATCAGAGTGGTTTATTTGCTTTAGAGCCTCTGGGAAGAAATAAATGCAAAATGATCCAGCTAAAGGTACACCACAAGGGGAGTTCCATAAATAAAATCTGTTTGAATAAACCCCAGAGGAACCATGAAAATAACTCTTCAGCCTGACTTTGGTTGTCACAAACAGGTCTGACCCTGATTTCCCTAACTTCTGGGATGGTAAAAATGGCAGAAAAGCTTCTCTCAGCTAGGTTTCCGGTCCAGGTAGACCAGTCACCTGAGTGCAGAAATGTTTATCGTGACACTTCTAGCTTCAAGATCAAGAACAGAGTTACAATAATTGCTAGCCTACAAGTGGGCCATAGATTGTGCTAGACCAAGCAATGACAGCAGTTTGTTATTTTATATCTTTTGATCCTCTGCCTTTTTTTTTCTCTAAGCATCCTACCAGCCCTGAAAATCTAAGCTAACTTTTTGTGCAAGGTTTCATTAAATTAGAGTAGGATCCTAGCATCTCATTTTTTTGTTCTTTTCTGCCCGATACCTTTGCTCTGTCAGGCATCCAAAAAACAAGAAATTGGTCTTTCTATTTGTGTTCCAGAGAAAACCAGTACTGGGCGAGATATTTACAAAACATGTGTGCAATGTGTTAAGCCCTCCTAGCTAGTCTTTCATAAACAATATGTGTATTATGAAGTAAATTATGTTTTACAAGTCAACTTCCAGGTGTGAGGCACAGCATGCAATATTGTTAAACTTGAAATTCTGCCTTATTTTGTTTGGGCACTTATGAATAAAACTCACATTGTTTCGAATAAGAATGCTTAACAAACATATTCAATCTTTACTGCAGGCTAAATAGTAACAGTTGCACAGGATTCTAATTTCTAAAAGAGGTTTAGACAATAATTGCATTTTGAAAACAATGAACTTTCCCATTTTATGAGAATATATGCAAATACATAAGAGCAGCCTAGAGGATATGGGCACCACATTTTCCATTGGCTTTTATTGCTTCAGAAATGGGTAACAAATAAATTCCTGCCATCCTTCTTTAGAAAATGTAACTATGCATTATTCAAAATCTGACCTCCGGAAGGCCTTGTTGTGCAAAAAGCCCCCAACCTCTTGATGCCTCCAGCCAGGGTTTGGGGACCTGTCATCTGAAATAGGAACTCTGACATACAATAGAAGCCCAAATACATGAAAGGAGCATTCTTTGGAGCTCAACATCAGAGCTCCAGCAGCCAAAATAGGACATCTGCTTTATACGATATGTGTATTGCACAATTTTGCCTTCTGAGATAATTACATTGATAAATTGATCATGATTATGAATAGTTATCCCCATCTCTGCAATCAATAAAGAATCAGCCCTCCCCCCCACCAAATTAGGTTTCATTTACCACAGATTTCATATGCACCACAGATTCTTGATACCAGGATTCATTCTGCTACTTGACCACAAAACTCACTAGATAATCCTTGAAAAAAGCATCAATTCCTAATTCCCCTAGTCAAGGAGCTCTTGGAAAATGTTAGGGCTGGGCAATACTTTGAATCCAAGTGACCTCCGTGATTGGGAGTGTGCACCAGGGTGCAGTCCTGGGAAAAGGCACATTTAAAGCAATTAGTGCATGCCCAACCACATTTCCCCTTTCAAATACGGAAGCGATGCACAACTTGACACAGTATAAAGCAGCCTCTGAATCTCTATGATAGGAAAGCATTTTATTTTAATTAAACCCAGTACTATATTCTAGTAGTTACTTAGCAGCTGAAGTACATTCAGTTCTGGAAAAAAATTAAACAACACTGACTCCTTGTATTTATTCTATAAAAATAGTCAACAGCATTAATTCAATGGGTTGATTTCTAAGTCAACATTCATAGGACTACAGTGTTCATTTTCAGATTATGAATTTATTTCTTGAAGAATCACCTCTTCTAATAGCCTCTTTTAATATAGTCTGAAGATGACTTTTGATAATGTGGATAATCTGCAGAATCAGCAGTTTTCATTTTAATGTTGTCCTTGTACGGCTTTTATAAATTTTGTGTGAGGAGAACAGGTCATATAAGACTACGGGCCACATTGTATAAGGCCTCTCCAATCATAGCCTGGAAAGTTGTTTAGCGGCAAGCCTCACTCTGGAGAGTCTCTTATGATCTCCCTCCTCCAAGAGAAGGCAAAGCAAGATGGCTTTTCCTTTACATGGCAAATCTTTCTTCCCGTAATTCAATATTTTCTGACCAAGGATAACATGAAATAGACTTTTCTGTAAGAAACAAGAGAAGTCCTTCAAAGGAGGAGGCAAACTCAAAAGATTTCACTGCATGACTTTGTGTCCACATTCACATGCAGTAAGCCAGAGTGGTAAAAATTCTGACTTATGAGGAACAATCTACCACACCACGGCCCAACTGCTCCTATTGCCACCGACACAGAGAACAAGCCCTGACCATCCATCCAGTGGCTTGCCTCTTCTTAAATGCAAAGCTATGCTTGTCCACCTTGTTAAAATTCAGAGGAAGAAGCCATGATTTGACCTAAGCATGTAACCCTGACTTGCAAAGAACTGAGTGGGCTAGATTCCTCGATCACACATAAATTATAATCAGAGCTTTCCATATTTATTGGCCGACATGAGGCATCAAACAAAATGGCGCCCCAAGATGTTGCTTGTTCCCAGGAAAATTAGAATTCTTTACAAGTGTCACTTAGGTTTCTAGGCAATGCAATAGGCTGCAGCAGGGTGGAGGGTCGCTGATTTCTCAGGCAAATGCACCTCGTATTGTCCCATGGCCAACACTGAGGATCTTGTGATCCTCTGGATTCCAAAGGTGAGGACTGCCATTGGGTAGAAAATCAGCAATTTCCTTCCATAATACGCATGTGCACTTTCCACTCATGAAGTGGGATGCAAACCAGAGTTCCTAAATCAAGATGCAATTAAATGAAGAGATGAGAAACCACCACCCAAGCAGGCTGCAGGCAACATTTGCGCATACACGTACACACAACTGAGAAGCACAGAGCAAAACAGGATAGAGATTTATTTCTGAAAGATCAGTTACAGAACTGAGATGACACAAACACAAATGTGGTTCATCTTAACATTTTAGAAAGAATATGAAAGGTCAAAATCAGCTGCCTTTAATTGATGCAGAGTGTGAAACAGAAGCAGGTGAAGTGTGGACTTAAGTCCCCACAATTATCTCTGTTGCGGAAAATATACAAGAGCTGATTCCAACTTTAAGCTCTCTGTTTTAAACCTGTTTCTTACTGAAAGACTCCCCACACGCTAATCACGCTCCACAAGGAAAAGCTGACAACCGTTCCTGTTCAATGACTGCTAAACTTAAGAAACTATCAAATATCAGCTCTCCCATCTCTCTCAGTGAAAATGTGTGCTGAACTCTAGGGAAAAATCAAAGTTATGTTTTTAGTTTGTTTGTCTGCTTTAACATATGTTGATAGAACATAAAGGCAGATACCAACCCATTTCCTGCTTTCAAGTTGCTTTTGCTCTCCGTGCCGAGTTGAGAAAGGACATAATGAGGCGCTTTGGCACTGTCAGCATCAAAGATATCCATGGTCGATTCTTCACAATCTCTCGGTTTGATCCCTGGCCTCTGCTTTGGATTTCGCTTACGAGATTTACGTGGCACCTCAGTGTTATCATTGTAGGAACTGGTACTCATGTTACTGAAGTTAGAGGGGGAGTCTTCCATCCACATACTGCAGCTTTGCTCAGACTCCAATCCGCACCCCTCATCCTGGCAGGACATCCGGCTGTTGTCCAGCAAATCCTCTGGTGGTGGCGAGATGTACAGGACTGTGTGCCTCTTCGGGGTGGACTGTGGCTGCGGCTGCTGGACTGTGTTATTGATTAACTGCTTGTCACTTACCCCACGGTTACTTACCCCCATGGCTGAGGAGCAGCCCTCCACTTGCATAGCTTTGCTGTCAGTGACTGAGGTAGAGTAAATGGTGGGGCCGGAAGAGGTGGTAAAGGAGCTGCAAGCACCGCCCACGGAGGAAGAGGGAGCTGAAGAAGCATCTGTGGTGTATAATCCACAAGTCAATACAGGGTCCCTGATCCCAACTCTGCTGGCTATAGCAGTCCCTTTGAAGTAGCGTGATTTGGTGAACCGATTCTTTCCCCAAATTAACATTTTAGAATTTGGCTTGTTTTGGAATTTAAGCGCTTCAAGTAATATAAGGCTTAAGCAATACAGAAGTATTTAGAAAAGATATCCAAATTATATTTCTTATTTTAGTGCATAGTAGCAATCAGACTTTTCAGAAAATCTGTAAGTCACAAAATGGTTGCAAGCAAACAAAGGTGCTTTCATTGCCTCATCTGGACCATCGAAAATGATAGAAACCCCCAGGAATGTGCATTTTAGGCCACATTATTGCCAATTGTTCAGCATCTGAACTGTTGAAAAACCTGGGACTGTGCTTAGCCACGAAGTATTAAAATAAGTTTCTAACCTATGAAGCAGAGAACTACAGGTCATTTTTAATGCAGACACTCCCTGCTTCAGAGGCAAATCCTGGAATAAAAATAATGAGAAAATAAATGAGAAGAGAGCTGCTGATTATTCCAGATATCAATTATCAAATGAGAAATGAAATATAAAATAACTGAACAGCAACAAATGGAACTGGTACCAAGTGTCATTTATGAGTTTTCAAAAAAAAAAAAAAAGCATTGGCTAAGGTTTTAACTTGGAGGATGCCCTGGTCCTGATGAGAGAATGAGGCTGTTTCAGCTCCCTCAGGTGAAAGAATAAATGCTCTTGGAGGAGGGTGGGGGGTGGGGGCAGAAAGGGGCAGGCAGAGATCCCTTCCTCAGCCAAAAGTAGCTCAACGTTCTTCAAGCTAGAAGAAAGAATGAGGAACTCAACTGGAGCAGCCCCTGTCAAGGGAAGAGGCAAGACAGGTTCATGCAAATGAAAGGAATGATTATGCAGGAATCCCACAGGCCCCAAAATCTTCTGGATAACAAGGTAACTGCTCAAGAGTAACTGCTCAATTGGCTCAAGAGGGCCTGGTGGCTCAGCAGACTAAAAGCATTGTGATTAACACCAGCTGTCTGCAATTACTGTAAATTCGAATCTCACCAGGCTCAAGGTTGATTCAGCCTTCCATCCTTTCTAAGGTAGGTTAAATGAGGACCCAGTTTGTGGGGGCAATAAGCTGACTTTGTATAAATATACAAAAGCATGAAGGCTATTGCTTAACGCATTGTAAGCCGCCCTGAGTCTCCGGAGAAGGGCGGCATATAAATCAAATAAAAAAAAAAAGAGTTAGATGGGCTCTAAAACATCTCTGGAGATGCTCCAGAATGCTGTGAAATCAAGAACCAAAAAAAAACCCTTAACTTGGGACGTGAACTTGTCTTACAAAATCAGATAAATTGAAGAAGCATTGAATCTTGAAAGCGGCATCTTCTCTAGAAGGTAAACAAATGGGCAATATTTTTCTTAATGCAAAAGAATACTTTTTTATGAGCCACTGGCCTCAAATGGAATAAGTGCAGTGTGTATACTCAGCTTTTAGTGTGATTATTTAAAAGTATTACAATTTTTTTAAAAAAATTATTCCGAAAATAAATAAATGATTACCTTGGCTATCTAACTTTGTGGTCACTTTAACTGAAAATACTAGTACATCATCAAAAGATGGAAGAAATACATATTAAGAGGGAATCATATCAATCTTCTACTTTAGCTTTAATTCAGAGGAACCTTTATCTGTGAGGTATTCTCTCAGGATTCCTCATTCCATTGCCAGATAATTGCTAAAATAATCTAGAGCACTGATTGATACCAGTTCCATTTTCAAGCTTGTGCCTCAACAAATGCAGTGGTTGAAATTGGAAAATTCAGTCATTCAAAACTGCATTTTAATTATAAAATTTTTTTATATCATGCATTAATGCAGTGCTTTCCTTAGAAAATTTTAAAATTTGTTTCAGTGACTATAATTGCTGATTTGCAGCCACTTTTGAGTTAGAATAAGTTGACATTTCTAAAGTGATCTTTATTAAAACAGAGCAAATGTATACTTTAATTATTCACTCACTCAGCTATTCACTTGCTTTGATTAGATATTCTGTGTGAATTATGAAATACATGCAGAAAGAATGCTGTAAACTTGCATTGGCATAAACAATACTTTCTCCAAGTTGGAAAACCCATGCAAAATGTGACAATGCTTTAATTTCTACATAAGAAAAGAGCAAGTAGGAAGACTAACTCATCTCTGATGTAAACTGTCCAAAATACTGACTGGGGTGTTTTGACCAGTCTGTTAGCCTAGCATCCATTTTTATCTGTGGGTTAAGTGAGATAAAGACGGTCACCTCTGGAAAAGGACAACCCATTTTCTTATTTAAAAAGGGGAATTCGTACAATCACCCAAATCCATACTGGCCCATTATGCCAGATTAATTCCCTACAGAGGGAATTCACATGAAAATAAAAATCTTTCCAAGAAACACAATGATTATTAGAGTTTATTAAACAATATTAACACAAAGTGAGAAGCATGTTACAAATAAATAGTAACTCCTCCAAAATATTATTTTACATGATATTTGAAAAGGAAAAAAAAATGATTTTGCTTATACACAAAGGAAATCAAGTGATCCAGCTTTGTTTTTGTAAAATTTTGTTAGCCCTATGTTTCAGGTTGCAATTAGGATAGATTAGGGCAAATAAAACAAACTGCTTGATTGATTTTATAATAAACTATGTCAAGATATAAATTAGAGGCTTTCAAAGCTTTAAAAAAATGAGCAAGTTTAGTTACTTCAATTAAGCACAGTAATTATAATATGCAAGTAGTCCTCAATTTATAACCATTTGTTTAACAACCATTCGAAGTTAGAAAAGCTCTGAAGAAGTGATTTATGACTACCGCAGCATCTCTGCAGTCGCATGATCAAAATTTGGCTGCTTGGCAATTGACAGGTATTCACACAAAGTCCCGGGACCAGAATATTGCCACTTAAAACCTTTCAAGGGGACTTCCGACAAGCAAAGTCCATGGGGGGAGCCAAATTCACGGTTCACTTAATGCAAAAAAAGGTTGCAAAATCAGGCTAATTACTAATGACTACACTGCTTAACAACAGATATGTTCCAGTCCCAACTGTGGTTGTAAGTCGAGGACTACCTGTACAGGGATCAAGCAGAAAAGAGTGTAACCTAGGATTGATATCCTCCTGCTGTATTTGAAGTTTGCGAGACTTCATTTTAAGGGACTGAATACACCTCAGCAAAGAATGCATGTTCACTTTTCATATGGCAGAACTATAGGGTGTTATGTGAATTCATGTTTAGTATGCAATAGCAAAACCTTGACTGATCAGTTGATGCTAAAGCAGCTTCAAAAACAAATTAATCCCAAATCAGGAGAGTCAAAATGTCTCTTCAAACCTGACATTCGTGAAGAATTATGTCCAAAAATTGGCTGGATCTGGGGAAAGGGTTATCGGAAATCTCATTTCCCGCTGTTAAAATACAGGTGTTTACAGGGCACTCCAATGTTTAGTATTATTTCTAGGGCATAAATTAATTTCTAGGATCAAAATTGCATTATTAATAAAACTGAAGCTGGACAGGTTAGTTTTATGCATTCTGTGAAATGCGAGATTACACATCAACAAAGCTAAGTGCCACCAAATCCTTTTTTACAATTATAATCATATGCCAAATATTTTTATGAGTATTGTGGCAATAAATGGTTAATTGTTTATAATTAAAGCCTCCAAAGATCTTGGTGCTCTCATACTATCCATTCTGCAATTGAAACAAACTGTGTAGTTTAAAAAGGCATAGTAGCAATTTTAGTAGCATTGTTCAGATTATTATTCTGCCTCTAGGCAAGCAGACAGCAAGACAAAACAGCATAGTACAATACAAAAAGCATCGACTCTGTTCTGTGTTACAACTATGGAACTAGAGTGACTTCCAAACAGTACTGAGCCTTGTTCACAGATACACTCACTGCCTTCCAGAGACTAAGAGTATATAATCTAAATGCCCAGTGCATTTTTATAGCAATGAGACTGAGATCTTAGAGCTCAAGAATCAGGAGCAGAGAAGCTGGCCTAATCAAAGATACAGCTGCTGCTGCTCAAGTTGCTAGAAAAAGTGTAATAGTCTTCTTCCCTCTTGGAAGACTTAAATTTATAAAAAAAACTTCTGTCCTTCATAGGCTCTTTGGTAGGCATAGAGAAAATGGCTATCTTTAGGCAAAGCTTAAAGCATTTGTTTACTGCATTAGCATTTCATTCTCTGAGAGAGTTCAGGGTACTCTGAGAGGGAGGCCTTCAGAGGCACCAGATTTTTCAAGATGCTAAGCATAAATCTAGCGATAAGAAGATATTGCAACTGCTTTTTCCCAGCATATAGGGATGGTAGGGCCCAGTGCCTCGGGTGTCCTTCTGAGCATTTCCATGCAAAACAATATATGCACAAGCAGCCAATGAATGAAGCATGGCAGACATTTGCCACTACTCTTCACTGTTCAGGAGACCGAAGAGAAAATGTGTGGATCCCCTAAAACAGGGATTAGGGCAGATCCATTCCAAAGGCAATTCCCCCATACAAGTAACCTTTAGGAATCTTGATTTCTTTCTTTTTGTTGGCTACAATTCTTCCCAATTACTGGGCGAGTGGACTTTCCAGAGTCAGTGAAGAAAAAGTTAGAAGTTCTGAAGTAAAGACAGAGGGACACCAGACCTTGTATTGTCAAAGTCACAGACAAAGTGGCTGCAAATCTGCTTCCATACCTTCATGCCAACTTTGGCTTACTAATCTTCTCCAGCTTCATTTATTGATACAATGTCAAAAGCTTTATTAGAGGTTAACTTAAGTCAATCCACTATTTATAAAACAAAATAAAAAGGAAAGAAGAGAGACTGATGAAGAAGTCTGAAACGAGACCGACCTATACCCTGGGTGAGATTGGATGGGTTAAGTGTCTCTGGTACTATTTGTCTTCACTATTGATAGCACACAACCCACCACACGATGCCTGTCTCTGAATGGCGAAGCTAGAATGCAAGTTAAGTGTATTAATAGAGAAAACAACTAGCATCCCAGCAATATCAAAAAGCAACCCCCTTTACTTTAAACATTCAATGCAGATTCAGAATAGATTGGTCACTTATATTATAGCCCAAATAGTTTAAAATTTCCCATTACATTTACATGCCATAAGAGCGTTTTAAAAAATCAAATCAGAGTCCAATCTGCTTTGACACAGAGAATAACTTAATATTTGTACTGACAGATGCATAAGTTGTTATTTCTTACCTGCAACTTTAACTGGATGTTCATGTTCATCAATTCAGACTAGGAAGTCTGACAATCAAAAATGATAATTAGAGGCAGTCAAGCAGCAGACTAGCCCTCAGCTCTTTGAGGCAGAGCCCTGGGAGGCTGCCATTGGGCCCTGCTGATAAGATGCCAACAGCATCCTTTGAGAGGGCAGCCTTCTCTCCCCCCCCCCCCCCCCCCCCCCCCAAGTGCTATTCTTAGTTTACTGAATTTTACCTCAGGGACAGAAACACTTACTCCCCCCATCCCTTTTCTGATGTTTTGTAAAGGCAGCTTTTTCCTTAGCATACTTATGGTAAGCATTGGTAAAACATTGCAACCACTACTCATTCCAGTGCAGCCTGATAGCTAATATCTTTATCCAAATATCAGCTCCAATAGCAAGAAAAAGGTCCAGCTCAGGGAAATCATACCCGACGGACAGAAACCCCTTCTCTAAACCTCTCCGGGTAGACCCCTGCGTGTCCTGAGCCACAGGCAACTGATTTTACTTAGCAGGCATTGGGGAGAATAGCAGGTCTTATATCTCTTTGTCCATCATGAGCTCTTATTTCCAACACAAACTAAACCACTTAGAGGAAGCTGTTCTTGATCTTTTATTTATCTGCTTATTGATTATTAAATTAATATGCCACCTATCTAACTATAAAGTGATTCATTTATTTTCTCTTCTTTCAAAGCGTGCTTTTCCAATTTTTGAAACACCATTAGAATGCAAAGGACTCATCTGGGATATTACTTGGCATCAATTTGAAGAATATACTTCAATTCAATATTTATTATTAAATAAATGCACAGCCCCAGCAACTTTGGGCAGATGTTTTAAAAAATTACAATTATGCCTGCATACTTCTTATCACAGACATGCCAAGCTGCCCTATGCTATGAAGCAGAATACAATAATGGTTCCTGGTTTAGACTTGTTTAGAATTTAAGTGGTAAATTCCATGGGACTGAAGTTGATCGACATAATATTCTACCACCCAGAGCAGCCTTATGGCAAGACAGGCGGCAAATAAATTTAACAAATAAATAATAATTCCAATTTCAATGTCTCAACTCTGATCATTTGAGCTCAAAAGTAAGCAAAGCTAGGCCTGGTTAATATTTAGATAGGGAATGCCAGGAAACATCAGAGTTGCCAGATTGCGATTTTTTGCATGTTCACGTCAGGTAAACTATCTAGATGTGTCCATGGAATCATCCTGAATCAAAATGAACTCAAAGGCATCTACTTTTTAATTTGCTTTTAATATAAGCACTGAACAGCAGCTAGGAAATTCAGTATCTGTAGTACCATAATTTCTTCAACATACAATTTTAGAGGAGGTTATCAGGAAGCCCATCTTGCACCTCCAGTTCAGAGTTATGGATCTTCCCTTTAAGAAATACTCCGGCCATTTATCTCTTTATAGGCTCAAGAATGATTTTGCTCAGGTTAAACAAGTGTTATTCCTGTTTTATGCTTCTTTTATATATTTTGATTAGCTAGTACAAATTTAATTAGATTATTTTTATACATACTAGAAGCTGAACTGGTGCACCAGTTCTTCACACACTCGCTGGCAAAATGACAGGAGAAGAACTGGCCAGGGCCATGGCTGCCACATGATATCCAAGCATTTCCTCCTGTCTTTTAGGCATAAACTAACACGAGTTCTTGCTCTTCTCTTTCTGTTTCTCAGAGATGGAGAGTAAGGATCATTCTCTGGTTTCACACTGGTCTCAGTTAGTAATACAATACTGTGTAGTACATCCAATATCAATGTATGCTCCTTTATGATTATTAATGGTTCTCTGGCTTTGAGACAGAGGCATCTCTTTAGAGTTTAACATGTAAAAACAGCTGTCAACTGATAGTTGATTGTTGATAAAAGAGCCACCTTGCATCTGGAATGATGAACATGAAGCATTCCTCTTATGCTAAAACAATTAAATGTGCTCTTGACAGATTAATTTCCATGTCTTAGCTTTAAACCGGTTTAGATGGATTTGCAAATTAAAAGCCAATCAATAGTAGAACTAGAACTAGAAGTCTGTTCTTGCAGGGCCTCATGCTTGAGCTCAGCCAATCCTGTTCCTCAAGAAATCGGAAGGTTACTGAGGCAGATTTTATGTAACCAGTTAATGTGTTCCAGAATCCCTGATTAAAGCAATGAGAAAGACCTAGGGCTACCAGATTTGCAACCAGATATTGGCTCACCTTATGACTATGGAAGCAGAAAACAAAAGAAGCTAAGTCTTAAATAAGGGAAATAGTTCTCATCAGTCCTCACTGTTTAATCGGTCAATGACACCAGTAAAACTGATTCAGGATGGACGAATCTGAATGTAACCAAAATGAAATGTAAAGAGGACTGTCATTAAGACAACTCTCATTAGTGCACATTGATGGTATTCAAATGTTAATTGAACTTTTAAAAATATGCCTTATTGGTCCTGCTCCTATGATACACAAGATTGTTTATTCTTTGTTTTTAAGTGACTGTAACTCTCCCCACTTTAAAAAAAAGATCTTGGCAAGCCTCATAGAAGATTTCTCTTGTTCTCCAGTTTTCATCCTTTGTCATCTGTGCTCATTCCTTGCATGGCAAGGTTGCAATTTTTAAGCCAGCCTTAAGGGCAAGTTAATTTTCCACTGTATACAACATTTGGAATTAAACCTTCCTATGTTTAGTCCTGCTATATAAATATATTATCTTTCTTTAAAAAGCAGACCAAGATTATTACTACTAAAGCCTATATTTTAGGGAGTATAATAAAGGCATTAAATACAAGCTACCACTTAGTCAAGTAATTTAACCAATATTATACTAAACAATATTGCTTATCTACCAACTCTCTGGAAAGCAGCACTGAAAAATCTGTCTATTACATACACAACTATGTTCTACTCTACTACTACAATACATGTATTTGGAAACAATTTGTTGCTCAATGTGTGGAGTAACGCAAGAGAATCTACTACTGGATACTAGATTTCTTTAGAATGAACTCACACATCATTTTTGAAAGGAATTGGACTGACTCAGACAACCAAAGCTGACAAGTAACAGACAACTAGTTCTCCTAAGCCAATTTTTCAGATGCTTGAAAATGAGCTCAAACATGAAAAACATTAAAGATCTGTGGGTTTAAAATGCTAGCATTTTTCAAAATTCTTGCAGCTGTTTTTCTCTTTAACTAATTAGCTTTATATATCAAAAGAAAGTATGCTTCAGGACTTTTTAACTGACATCTTCTTTGAATTTAATGACTAGTCTTCCTAATCTACACTTATATCCACAGATTTCATGAAGAAAAAAATTCAAATACATTAACAATGAGCAGTGCTGCAAAGTGTTTACCCTTGATTCAAATTATACTTTCAAAAATCAAGCAGACAGTTGCCGAATTCTGGCAACAGCTTTGTGGAGAAAATCTGGAATATAACTATGAAAAAAGTCTATTCCAAATATATATGATTCCAAGATAAAAACTGTCCAAGACAGCTTATACCAGGCAACTCCCTCCAGAAGTCTCTAATATAAAATAAATACAAAAATAGGAGAAAAGACTTTAAAGCCTACATTAAGTAGGAGACTCTTTCAAATTATTTCCCAGTTTATTTTAATTTATGGTAATTTTAAATTCTATTCAGCTGATGTCCCTTCATATAACTCCTAAGTAACTAAATGTTCAAATTATAAGAAATATGATTTAATTAAAGCTAGTACTTTGATTTCCTTTAATTCTTCTCTAACAAAAATAATGTGTTGGAGGTATATTTAACACTCAATTATAATTTAGCAATTACCACATTAAAAAAAGGCATGCAAGGATTGGAGATGATGATGAAGTGGACAAAACATCCAGTGTTGCTGCTGCTTCTTTTTTTTAATATCTACAAACTTTTCCAGCACTGCTCATGTGTTCAATAATATTCATATGTATTAAAATATTAATCTAAACCAAAGGAAGTACTTACCAGCAGCAACTACGCCCGGGGGGGGCGAACCCACTTCGCCCCCACTGGTTTGACTCATGGATGCTACTGAGAGTTCTCTGGAAGGTGGCAGCTGCAGCTCCTTAGGGAGGAGATCATAGACTGATTCTGCCAATGAGAAATAGAGGTATTTATGAGCCAAACCAAATGCTCATTGCTATTTAATAACAAAACATAAATAAAGAAATAAAGGCAGTTGTCACTAGTCTCCATATGTAAAACCAAAATTGTTAAGAAACATGCATATTTTAAGCCTATAGAAGAACAAAGATACATATTTTTGCATCACAAATAAAAGCAAAAAATGCTGTCTGACAGTTAAAAGCATTACTGAATACCTTTGATCCAATCTTTCATATATTTACTCCCCAATATCAGAGAGTTAATTATGCTTTGTGCCAGAAAAATAAAAGTTTATGGGAAAGAATTCTGTTCTACTTTCTATCATATTCTGTTTTCCACAATCCAATTCTCATGAAAAGTTCCCTTAATATGTATACTAATCTACAATAATTTCCTATTGCATAAAAAAAATCTGATTCAAGAAATGTGATTATTTTGATCCAATCTAAACAAGCAATTATTTAGGACATTTTTTAACATTTATGTATACAGTATAATGTTCTACTTATTTTAATCAGCTTTATTCAATTAGATCATTAGCATGATCATACAGGCCTATTTTAATTTATCCCATCAATCTGTCCTACTCTCAGTTTTAAAAAATTAACCAATAATTTAATATAACAACTATCACTGTTGTTATGATGTTCCTACAATCTCCACTGAGGCCAAAACAATTTGCACATACATGGATTACTTTCTAGGTCCCCTCCCAAGTACAGTAGAAATGCCAGTATTTTTTGAGTCTGACTCAGAAGCAAAGCCTCGAGTAAGTTTGTGGTTCAAATCAACAGGAAGAATGAGCATTCAGTTTAGCTTTACTTACTTTCTCCATGCAATATTATTAAATAAACCCTTGTACAAAACTTCAGTGTATGGAAGGAAAATGTGGACTGGTGCCCTGCATGCTGACCGAGGACAGAGAATTAAGCTCAGCCGCTGCAACGCCTGTAGGAGGGATCCTCCTCTACCTCACCTACTCTGCACAAGATGAAAGATTACTCTTTAGAGAGAAACTACCATAGGACCCAAAACATTTTTTTCCTGGGGAAAACATTTTCCTTGTTTCCTTCAGTATCACAGTTCCATGACATAACCACCCAAGGTGTAGAAATGTTCAATCTATTTTTCACTTTAGATAGCTTGGCAGAGTGAAGTCTTTGAGAAGTTCAACATATATTTTAAGCCACATATAGTAAAAAAAAAAAAAAAAAAGAGCATCAGTTTAAATCATTCTGAAATTTGGGTCCTCAAATAGTAAATTAATGACTGAATTTTCTTTTGGAAAAGGCCTGTGATATTCTGAATAGCAGAACTTCAAATTAAAACATTATACCATTTGGAAAATAAAACTGAAGGGAAGAATGCAACATTTCTCATAAAATTCATTTTTCCACTTGACGGATCAGATTAGTATCATAACTCTCAGAAAAAGTTTCAACTAAATATGAATGTTAGAAATCCCACATAAAAAATGTTTCACACTTCAACATTTTGTCCTAGGTCCAGTTTATACCATTATAGTACATTCTTTTAAGGAATATACCGAGATATTCGTGTAAATCTCAATCTCTGATCACTAGATGGATCATAAACCACAGGTTGAGCACAAGGATCCACAAATGCATTCACCAGCTCCTCAGGATGAGTGCATTCAATTCAATGTTTTTATGTTCTATTTCCATTTTGATTTCCAAGCAAGAAACAAACTGCAGGAGCAATTGACAGGAGGACTGGTTTTTAATCTTATCTTCTTAAAGCCCTGCATAAATGAAAGATGATCCTGCCTTTTTCCAAAGTCCACTCTGCATGACTGAGGACATAAGAGAAAAGAGGATTGGTGACAATCACAAAGAATGCCATTAGTGAGCCAAGCCAATATTTATAAACTTCTGCTGGACAATAATTTAAGACTAGCATAAGAAAGGACTTCTCCCAACTTGCTGACTTAATTGAACTCAGAAGCAATTATTAAGTAATATTTATTCTGTGAACTGTTGCTGCCATTTAGAAATCAATATTCTTTTTTCTATTATGGTTCTTCAAGTGTAGATCTCGCCATGTTTAGCAAAATTGCAGAAAAAGATACTGGTTGTACATTAACCTTTGAAAGGATTGCAGCAGCCAGGAATAAGGGGGGGGGGGGACATTCTACATGTAACCCAGCATCTTTTTCTACTATTCCTTGATGAATTAAGCTCATCTACTTCCAGATAGTGAAATTAAAATAGTGCAACTTGTGATATTCTGTACATAGAACTTCAAAGAGACAGGGCCTTATTATAAGAATACCAAAGTTTCAAAACAAAACCACCAAAATTCTATTATTACCTTATTTCCAAACTTTGCTAATACAATGCCTACTCTTGTTAGACTTGAAAGATAGAGCAACCCTTTATTCTTTGATTGCATTTTTCCAATCAGGCATTTCCCATTTTCATTTGCTTGAAGGATTTAAAATAAATCCATCTGCTTGAGTAAGGGCCAAATATGTGGCAAGAAGTTAATTCTCCTTTTTTCACTGCTCTCTTTTGTTTCCATAATTAGAGACATGTGGCCTACAGAACTAAAAAGAAGAAACCTATACCATGAATGCAACCACTTGCAATAAAAAAAAACATACTTAAACATGAAGAAATAGTCAGCAATGACAAAGGTGAACAATGCTGAGTCGTCTTTAAGGTACTGGACTTGAGACCAATGCTGAAATTCGCTCTCAGTCACAGAAGATCAAATTATTTCTATGTACAATGAACCATATAATGGTGGTTATGGGGGGAAATATAGAAAGAGAATGCTATTTACCCAACCTCGGACTTCTAAAGGGAAGAAATGGGATGGGCAGATCAACGGCCCTTCTATTTCTACTCCATATCAGTTATTCTTCAGACCCAATTATGCACAAGCTGTGGTCCAAGAACAGAACCCTGATGTTGATTTCTTACTTAGTGTTCCTCATTTGCAAATTTACTTGTCAAAGATAGTGTTTTCTATCAATACACAATTGATAGTGTATACACACAATTGATAGTGTGTACACAATACACAATGCTTAAAGCATTCAACCAAGAATGCTTTAAGCATTCAACAAAAATAAACTTTTCTGAAGCCTGTTATACTGTTCCAGTATGAAAGGCATATGATGTAGCAGGAAAGCAGCTTGGACAAGCATGGGAAATGGCTCAGTGAGTAGCTTTAGTGTCAAGACAGAGATCTAAAGACAAATAGACACATTAAATAATCCCCAGTTCTAATCATTGCTAATACTATCAGGATTTCTGTCTAATATATGTAAGAGTAAATCAATTCTTTCATTCCTAATAATCAAACTGGAACATCCAGTCCACTGCAGCCCTGATTTGTGGGAGCGCCTAATTTCCAATCCTGGAATTAAGCAAACAATTCTATTTGCTTAAGTGTACTTAAATCGTACTTATTTGCCATTTCTCAATTAAACTAGTGGCAAACTAGTCTGAATTTTGCAAAACTCCACAAGAAGTGCTGCTGGATCAAAAAATGGAAAGTAAGACATTAGAACCTTGGCAGAAGAGAAAGTAAACCAAGAATCAACCATATTCTAATCATGATCTACTGCTAGCCTTCTTTCACGTAAAAAGCACACCGTGAGATGAAAACAGCATATAAATTTGATAAACAAACAGGCTTGCTTTTTTTTTTTTTTAATTTGATTTATATGCCGCCCTTCTCCGGAGACTCAGGGCGGCTTTTATAAATTTTCATTGCTAATTTTCTTGGCAGGTTTTCTACTGCCTTCTCCCAAGGTATCTTTCTCAAATTCCCAGACTGAAGCCCAGGGAGTGTCTGTAGTTTCCCATCCAATCAGCTGAGAAATGCAACCCTTTTTATTTGGGCCTTCAATATCAGTCAAGGTCAGCTAGGCTCCCCACCTGCTGAGGGCTATGCCAAATCTCTCTCATGTCTCTGGAATTAAGGCGGGTATTAAGGAGTCTGAGAAATCTCTGATGGTTCTACCTTGCTAGGGCAAACTACCAGGCACATGCACTTAATGCCGAAGCATTCAGATCCTGTCTAAGCCCCTTTCTGTGCTCCAATAATGCCCATACTCGGAAAGTCCTTGCCAAATTCTCAGTAGAGATGACTATAAATAGATTTGCTATTATTGAAGTGTTTCTCAATTTATAGTCTGTTCGGTAGTAAACACAGTCTACTTCAGAAAGTCCACCACTGTTATTTCCCTGCTATGCCACAGTTCTCGGTTAGACAGGAATGCTTGTGTATTTGGTTTTTGTATTTATCTTTTAAAAATATGAAAGCTAGTTATGAGCAACTGAATCAAGGATCAATTATTCATATAAACTGCCAAATTAAACTTCAATTGTCTAAAACAAGAACATTTTATCATGTTTCCCAGTAATTATTGAATGCAGCAAGCCACTGAATAAATATATTGTACATTCCTATAAATATGTTACCATACAAGAATTTTTTTTAATCCATGTTGCTGCCATGATTATAATGTAAGATATAAATGATAACAGATGCAATACAAAATGAGGAATAAGAAAGGCAATAGTTTTGTATTTACTGTGGCAGCCAAGATAAATAAATTTCCTGGTTTCCTGCCACATCTTTGACTTGCAACCTTCCTTCTATACTAAGAACCAAATCAATGCCACAAAACAAATTTGCAGTATAAACCTTATTAATGCATTTTTGCATTATGTGCATTATTTAGTTTGTTATATCAACTCTTGCAACTGACCAAAGTAGTCCAAGCATCAATCTAGCACCATCTGATTTAAAACTCTGTTCAGCCATTAGGCCCCCTGAGAGGCACCCCGTCTCTTACCAGAATCTACTTTATAAGCTTACTGCAAAACCAAAGAGGATTACACTATATATTGCCTTAAGCACATGACATTGAAGATGAAGCATGTATTACAGTAAGTACTTAGATAAGCACTACATTATTCCTTTAGTTTATTTTTAAATTGTGTTTACAACAGAAGGAAATAAAGTCAATCAGATAAGGCTTCTAGATAAAAGACAGGCATGCTTTAAAATGTCCTGCATTGCTTTTTTTATTGTTACATTTTGGGTGAAAGAATGTTATGCTAAATATATACAAATGTTATGCCCACTCACCCATGCAGAGCGATATCAAGCAGAGGAACTGCCATGACAAAAGAGATCCTGATAGAGATGTACTATGGACAGATAACTGAGGTGCTAGACTCTGGGAAATCCTATCAGTGGCAGGAAAGGGCTGAAATGAAAGACATCATTGATCATAGCAGCAGCAGAACAGGCATTAAGCAGCAGAGTCGCAGAAGCAGAGGTCTACCACGCTAGACAGAACTCAAGGGGCAGACTACGTAGAGAAGCCTCAGAGACAGTCCAACACATGGTGGCAACAGGCAGGAACAGCATACACTAACAGCACAACCAAGTAACTGACATTGTGTACAGGAACATCTGCATAAGGTATGGGCTAGACCGCCACAAATACAGAATGGGAGATTACACAGAAGGTTGGGTACAATAAGAGAGCTAAGATTCTGTAGGATTTCCAGATCCAGATAGATAGACAGACAGATACTAGTCAACCAATCAGACATCATGGTAGTAGATGAGGACCAGAAGACAGTGATGGTGAGAGATGTAGCAATATCAAGTGACGGCAACACTTGACACAGGAAGAAGTATGAGAAGATGGAGAAGTACCAGGGCCTGAAGTAGGAACTAGAGGATGTAGAAAGACCAAAGCTATCCAGCAATGCTAGAACTTGAGGCTGTGAGAGGCTCCAATAGATCCCAGAAACCACCTCAGAGTTTTCTCTCCAGAGGAGTGCCTTGTTAAGAACAGCTAAGATACTGCACAGAACCCTCAAACTCCCAGGTCTCTGGTAGAGGACCCCAGATTGAAGAAGATACAGCTCACCCACAAAGGTGAGAATATTGTGTTTAAAAATATTTACCTAAAGCTATGAAAATTACTGAAATTGTGTTTATTTACAAAATGACTAATACTTCAACATACAACATTCAGTGCATTTGCAACAATCAGCATTTTGATTTAGGTTTACTTAGCATTTTCTACTTGAATAATATTTACTATCATTCTTTCAGAATTATTTCTGAAAGCAAATACATTGTAAGATTATGTATATTTGCTTGGTTATCACCACCACGTGGCTCTTAGTATGATAATTGCTATCATTGAGCTAAATTAAATAAAAGGTTATCTGTAGTTGTCAGAGTAACTTTTGCTAAAGATTTAACAACTATTTGTAATAAGAAGATACTTTTAAAGTATATTCCATAGAAAAGGGAACTAAGAGAAGGATGTATAGCAAAAATGACAAAATATTTTTAGGAAGACAGTCAAGCACTACCTATCAGTTCACAAGCCTCCTGTACACCACAAAACAGCTAATGTGAACAGTAAACAGTTTTTTTACTAGTGTGGTAAAAAACCCCACACTAATACCAATTTGAAAATAAGCTTCCCAAATTCAAAGCTTCAGGTAAACTGTGATAAATCAACAGCTTGATAAAAATCTGAAGTTACTGCTAGAATTGATTGAAGTAATATTGAGCAAACAGTAATACCCAACAGAATTTGTCTACACAATTTCTGTTAACAGGCATTTTCAACAATTTAACTTATTTTACATTTGCTACTCACACTTAAGATTGCCCACTTGCTGCTACCCTACAGTCACCTACCCCCCAAAATAGAAATTTAATGGGACTTTTTTGGTTACTAGATCTTCTCTAACTTCAAGGGCAACCAGGCAGACTCGGTTTTTAATTTTTCCCACGCAGCCCCACTCCCAGCATCAAGGCCTCCCAGCCTCTTGAGAGGTTGGTGAGAGTTTTTCTTTATTTCTTCAGCCAGAGGAGGGGAAAGGGAGGAGGGCCGCCGGCGCCCCTGTCCCAGCCTCTTTGGTACCCAGCCTCTCTTTCGCCCTGGGGGACGGCTCGGCCAAAGCCACCCACCACCGACCGGGCGCATTTTTCCGCCGCGTGTATTTGTGCCGCCCGGCTCCGCTTTCCGGCGCCAGAGGAAGGAAGGCACGGCGAGAAGCCCGGCCTCCCTCGCCTCCGGACCGCCTTTCCGGGCGCCACCTCCGTCCCTCGGGGGCTTCTGCCTTCGGACGTCCCCCCGGCGGCACCAAGCGAGGCCTCCGCGCACCCACAGCCGCCCGGCCCTGGCTGCTCCCGGGAAGCGGGTCCGCGCGGCCGGCGGGGCTCGCAGACACCGGGCGACGGCCTGCTGCGAGGCTCCAACCGCTCGGCCGCCCGCAATCCGGCCCGGACGGCGCCGGCTGCGGAGAAGGCCCTGCGCGGCCTCGGCGGCCGACTCACCCTTGGAGTAGAGGGACTTGGGCGACTCGAGGTCGAGGTCGGCGCTGAGCAGAGAGATGAAGTCCGAGGGCATCGCCGCTCCGGGGCCGCGCTGCGGGGGCGGACGAAGAAGCGGCTCCGCGGGCGCCACTCCAGCCGCCGCCGCCGCCGCCGCTCCTGACAGGAATCCGGTGGCTGCCGCCCAGCGGGACCGCCCCCTCGCTCCTAGCACTGCGCGTGCGCCGCCCGGCTCCGAGCGCGAGCGGCGGCCGTAGGAGACCGAGAACGCGGCGACGAGTGCAAGGCGCATGCGCCCCGCCCGAGAACGTGGGGAAATCCTCGGCCTTCGGGATCCTTCGACCCCTGCGCACCGAGAGGGAAATGGAGCGCGCATGCGCTCGGGCCTGCCGTGCCTGGGGGGAGGGCGGGATCGCAGCGCGAAACAGTGTTTCTGCGCTTGCGCCCCTAAAACTGCCCGGGGAGGGGTCGCGAGGGCAGAGGCGCAGTAATTAACCTGCTCGGTGCCCCCCCCGGGGGAGGTGAGAGGGCGGAGCCGAGGGAAGAGCCTCGCTTGCCAAAGGGGCGGGGCCTGAGTAGGGAGGTGTGGCGCCCAAGTGGTGGGGGGGGTAGTGGCGCCAGGTCGGAGCGACTCCCCCCCCCCCCCCCCCAGGACACGCCGTCGAGTCCGACTCGTTCAGCGGACCGCAACACGCAGTCAACCCAACGTGCGTCCCGGGTTTGCCCAGGGCCCTGCGGGCTGGGTGTAGGGAGGCCGTCATGGAAGCGCTGGAAGCGAAGGGTCACAGCCAGGAGAGCAGCCAAGAGCCCGGCCCACCCGGCGGCAGCGTCCCCCCAGCAGCACCAGCAGCAGGCGGGCCCCGGTGGGGGGAATGCTTCCCTTTACCCGCCCCTCCTTTCCGTCCCGGCGGGGTGCTTTGAATGCCCTCCCCGAGTTCTGGGTGCCCTTCCTGAAAGCCCCCCCGCCCCCACCCCCAGCCTGCCCACGGGAGCCTTTTCTGTCTTGGGCGGTTTTCTCAGGAGCCGCCTCCGCTTTGGCTACCTGGGCTGCCTTTCTCTCAACTTTGCTCCACTTCTGGGAAGCCCGGACAAAACAACCGGGGCAGCCACAAATGCTACAGGCTGTGCGCACAATCCTGCTTAGCCAGGTGAATGGAGGCAAACCTGCATTTCCACATCTTGGCACTAACTTAGTGCCTGTTGCCTTGGCTGGGTTGTGAGATTTTGACTTGGTTGTGAAACTCCCTTTTGTTAATTTACAGCTCTGTATATTGTCTGAACCAGTAACCTGGGTTAATTCAGTAATCAGATTAAGAACGTTCAATAAATAATGTCATTTAAGTCATATGTGGCATCATTCCCATCAATCATTGGAACTGTTTTCTTCTGCAGGCTGTGGAAGCTTTATTTTTCCTCAAGAAGTATATTGTAAAATTTATAATATTTTGATACTGCTATGAATAAATGGCATTTCCACAAAGGACATCCATTTGTTAACTACAGAAAGTTCTATACACACACAAAAGTTTATTCAGTTAGATAGGAATTGTGATCCAAAACATCTGGAGAGCAGGTTGAGAATAGCCACTCTAAAGCTAACCTGGCCAAACCGAGCTAACCCCAAATACACACATTTATTTATTTATTTATTTATTTATTTACAAATATTTATATGCTGTCCTTCTCCCAAAGAACTCAGGGCGGCAAACACAAGTTAAAAAACATACAATGATAAAGGAAAATCCTAATTAAAAACCAATTAAAACAGGGACAAATAAATAATAAAACCCAAGAATCAGAATCAGTCCTTTTGTTGAAACATCCAAGTCTTTAGGCCTCGATGGAAGGAGCGGAGATCAGGGGCCGTCCGGAGCTTGGTGGGTAACTCATTCCAGAGGGCAGGAGCGCCCACAGAGAACGCTCTACTGGATGTCGCCAGCCGACATTGTCTGGTCGACGGTACCCTAAGGAGGGCAGCCCTGTGTAAACGGACAGGACGGTGGGAGGCGGGCAGGAGATGGTCCTGCAAATACCCCGGACCTAAGCCATGTAGGGCTTTATAGGTAAGTACCAGCACCTTGAAGTGGATCCGGAGGACCACTGGTAACCGGTGCAGCTCGCGTAGGAGAGGTGTTACGCGGGAGTAACGGGTAGCTCTCATAACAACCCGCACGGCCACATTCTGGACCAGCTGGAGCCTCCGGGTGCACCTCAAGGGCAGCCCCATGTAGAGGGAGTTGCAGTAATCCAAGCGAGAAGTAACCAGGGCATGAGTGACCGTGCAAAGGGCATCTCAGTCTAGGAAAGGGCGCAACTGGCGCACCAGGCGAACCTGCGCAAAAGCCCCCCTGGTCACGGCCATCAGATGGTCTTCCAGCGACAGCCGGGAATCCAGGAGGACACCCAAGTTGTGGGCCCTTTTAACGGGAGCAAGTACCTCCCCCCCATCAAAAGTGATGGGACCTCTAGAACATGAGGTGCTGGCATCCACAGCCACTCAGTCTTGGAGGGGTTGAGTCTGAGCCTGTTCCTACCCATCCAGGCCCCTACCGCCTCTAGGCATCGGGATATCATGGAAAGGGCATCCCCAGGGTGGTCTGGGGTGGAGATGTATAGCTGAGTATCACCAGCATATTGATGATACCTCACCCTGAAACCACAAATGATCTCACCCAGCAGCTTCATAGAGATGTTATAGAGTAGGGGGGAGAGAACTGACCCCTGAGGCACCGCACAGGTTAGGGACCTCGGGGTGGACCTCTGCCCCCCCCCCGCCCATACAAACTGCGAGCGACCTGAGAGGTAGGAGGAGAACCACTGTAAGACAGTGCCTCCTACCCCCAACCCCCCAAGTCGCTGCAGTAAGATACCATGGTCGATGGTATCGAAAGCAACACTACAAGCCAAAATGGTTGCTTCACACATGCTTCAGCATAAACCATGGTTTACAACCATAAGGGCTTAGGGAGATGCAGGAATCTCAACCACACATAAAAGAGTTCCAGCCGTGCCTTTAGCACTAAGTCAGGTCAGTGCCCTTGGGACAGTCACTTTCTCACAGCCTTAGGAAGGAGCAATGGCAAACCATTCCTGAAAAACCTTGCTAAGAAAACTGCAGTGACCTGTCAGTTGCTCAGAGTCAGCCCTCACTTGAAGGCACACATACTACGTATGCCAGAGCTAGATGGGAGGACTCTTGACATACTGGTTTAGATTAAACCGTTTGATTTTAAAATAGTTATTTTATTCAGGGGCTGGGAGAGATTAGCAGGTGTTTCCTAATAGGCGGCAATCACGAGTCAGGAGGTAAATTATTTTCCAACGATCATGTGGAAAAATAAGGCAGAAGAGAATGCAAATCTGTCAACAGCCCAGGAGATTCAGGGCCAACTCCCCGGCATTTCCTGAGATGTTTCTCCCAGCAGGATCCCTAGCAGAAGGACAGCAGTGGACACACAGGCCGAGGCTGACGTGGCAGCTCAGGGAGGAGCTCAGCTCCAGCCTTGCACTCACTCTTCACTTTTGTGCTGCCCTTGGCCAGGTGAAGGTAAAGTGAGGAGGAGGAGGAGGAAAGGCAGGATGTTTGGAATCCCCTCCATCATGCATGGAGTCTGACTGTCTTGCCAATAAGCGATTGAGGGGGGGTGATATCTGGTCAGATAGGGGAGCAAATTCAGCGATGAGTGAGAAGAGACCAGACATCTCTGCCTGTTGCACCAGATCTGACAGGGTAGGCAGCTCCAGATCCCCTTGGTGCAGCCTTATGGGACTGAGCAGGTATGCCTAATCTGCACCTATGGAACCTCCTCAACCTTCTTAGCATCCAGAAAACTGCTGAAACCTGGCCTTTCGCCCATCCTTTGGATCAGGATGCTCTCACACTGCTATACAGGGCCTTGGTTTTTCTTCTTTGTATTGGGATATTTTTCATTTTGGTTATGGCTTTTTGTTTTCTGTACTGATTATTTAAGAGAAACAGACACATAAAAATTCTAAATAAATAGCACAGCCTTTCTTGCTGGAGAGGGGCTATGGCCTGCTGGCTTAGGAAAAGGGCGGCAACAGGCCAAGATGCTTCAAGGCACCAGACAGCTATAGTTCCTCTCCTTCCTTGGCCCCTCCCTTTCCATACTCCCCTCCCTTCTCACCCTCTGTCTTCCTTGGGTTCAGGGCTGTTAGGACTAAACCCTCCCTCCCTCCAGCTGCAGACAGCTGTGCCTGTCCATGCTCTTCCACAGCCAGGAAGACCTGCATGATGACCTCCTTCACCTTTCTGAGGGTTAGGGTAGTTGCTACCTTAACTCTAATCCTGTTAGTTAACTAACCTGTTAGTTGCTTCAAGATACTACAAGCAGGAAGGCATGTGGCAACTTGAAGCAACCTCTGCTCCCAGCGCCAGCCATCTTTAAAGACCTTGTTTGCTGCTTGTTACACCCCAGCTGCACCTCCTGATCTCTCTTCTGACACACAAAACAAACAATAAAATCCCAGAGCATCAGGCAATGGCCAGAAATAAAAACTGGCAGTAAAGAAACTGCTCCTCCCTTCTCCCCCCCCCACAAACTCTTGCCCAGGAACAGGGTTTCCGCTGCCGGACAGGCCTCTGACAAAAACAGGGCTGTGCTTTTTATGGCAGAAGGGAAGGAGACTTTGGCCAGGGGGCATTGGTCTCCCCTCCACCTGCTGGGCTCCACCCAGAGCTACACTCTGCCCCCACAGCAAGCTCTTTATTCTGTCTTCTTGTCCCGGCTGCCTCCCATGGCATCTTTAGAACTGTTTCACCTCTGAGGCAGAGACTGAATGAGAGGGACTCAGGAGCTGCTGGTATGTCTTTTGATTCAGTCTGTGTGATTCCACACACTCAACACCCTCGGCTGTAGCGAAAGGAACAGGCGGGCAGTTACCTCAGCAATGGAGTTGGCCCTGCACCAATTCCCCCTCTTGGCAGGTTAGGCCAAACACAAGTTACTCAGATAAGTCTAAATGGGAGCCCAGCCACAAGGATCAGCTCCAAACATGATGACTTTGAACAGGCTGACGGCAACTTTCGCTTTGTGCACTGGCACCAGCAGGAAAAATGTCACCCGCCCTTTTCCTTCACGCTTAACTCCTTTTGCCGGGTGTTCTGGATTGTTAGGCCAGGCAAAGGGCAGGTGGAAAAATGCTGAAGCCCCGAAGGGTTGAAGACTGCATCATTCCTCTTGAAAGAATCAAGGAACATTCAACCTCAGCCCATCACAGAGGGCAGAGTAGGGAAAACAGGAGACAGAAGCGTTCTGAATAGCAACCTCGCCATCATCCTAGCACAGTGGCCCCCAACCTTTTGGG